AGCTTGCTTTTCGTGTGAAACTTTCCATGGGCCGGACAGGTCCCCTCTCTGCTGTAAGGTACCTCATTATTCCCGGGGCCAGACAAACTGGGCCATGAGGGTTGTGTCGGGATTCTTTATGCCTCCCGTCTGTCCTTTCGCCTCTTTAGCTTGCGGAGTTCGATCTTTAGTTCCCTTTCCTCGCTCCGGACGTCAACCTCTGCGTGACGACCTACCTCGTCAAGAACGAGTGACGCGACTTGCACACCCAGACTATCTTCGCCCCTAAGACCTCTTTAGCCACGCTATTTTCAAAACGTATACCTACCATACCTACCTTAATGTCCACATTGGGATGCCAGCCCTGATCTAAACAACAATCTCTCACACACGATCCCAACTCCTCTTCCCATAACCGCAACTCCCCCCTTCCCTCCCGCACCACCGTCATAGACGAAACTCAATTCGAGAGCAGACCTGACACCACTCACGCCAACCCGACGCCATCATGGCGCACCCAACCGCCGCGGCACAACTGGCCTTGGGCACGACGACCGAGTCCGAGGCGACGGCGACCCCTCCTCCCGAGCACCTTCACATTGACGAAATAGACCGCGATGGACGACACATTGGTGTCGTGCGAGACGAGGACAGAAACATTGTCTACCCGTCCTTTGTACCACCCGAGATCGACTCGCCAAATGCTCGATCGCCCCAGTCAACGACCGCGCCTACGGTTCCCGAAATACCACCAAAGGACTACAAGACCACAAAGACCGAATCGGCCCCGAATGACCACCCTGACCATCTCGAGGTACCCGGCACATCGAACAACCAGGAACGCCCTCCCATAGACAAGAAGTGGAGGACCGAGGCGCCTGATCGAAAGGCTGGCCAGGGCAGTACGGTACGGCGGAATGTCCCCAAGCGATCCGGAACATCATACCTCGATAGGGCACTCTGGGAGGCCGACAGGGGAGATTCGAGCTCGAGCTCGAGCTCCAGCGATTCCTCCGATGACGAGAACTCCCAAGACACCAGAACCCCGGCCGAGAAGAAAAGGGCACGAGATAAAGCCAATGCGAAGCGGCAAAGAGAGATTGCGGAGCGCTACCGCCGCTTCCACGTCGGCAACGACAACTACAACACCAAGGGCAAGGTGAAGAAGGACGGCCGCCTGCGTATTTCGGTCAAGGAAACGGCCAATACCGGCTACTTGGCCAAGGCGTTGGGACAGGCCGTCAAGAAAGTAGTACCGGTGCCCGAAGGCGAGGAGCAGGGCGACGATGCGCAGCGACCACCCGTGTCTCGCCTCTCTTCCGCTACCACGGCCACTGCCGACCGCGAACCGAAGCCGCGCTTGAATATTGTCATTATGGTCATTGGCTCTCGCGGTGATGCGCAGCCGTTCCTGAAAATTGGCAAGATTCTCAAGGAGGATTATGGTCATCGCGTGCGTATTGCAACGCACCCCGCCTTCCGCGAGTTCGTCGAGAAGGACTCTGGCCTCGAGTTCTTCTCGGTCGGCGGCGACCCCTCCGAGTTGATGGCTTTCATGGTCAAGAATCCTGGCATGATTCCGACTCTCGATGCCGTCAAGGCGGGAGACATTGGACGACGGCGATCGGCCATGGCGGAGATGTTTGACGGATTCTGGAGAGCTTGCATCAACGTCACGGACGACGAGAAGGATGTCCATAACCTCAAAATGATGGGTGAGAAGGATCCCTTCATCGCCGACGCCATCATTGCCAACCCTCCCAGCTTCGCCCATATCCACTGCGCTGAAGCTCTCGGGATTCCCTTGCATCTTATGTTTACGTTCCCATACACCCCAACGCAAGCTTTCCCTCACCCCCTGGCCAGCATCAAGAAATCCAACGTGGATCCCGGGTACACCAACTTCATCTCATATCCTCTGGTCGAGATGATGGTCTGGCAAGGCCTGGGCGATTTGGTCAATGACTTCCGCGTCAAGACCCTCGGATTGGACGCCGTCTCGACGCTTTGGGCCCCAGGAGCGACCTACCGTCTGCACGTGCCCTTCACCTACCTCTGGAGTCCCGGTCTCGTCCCCAAGCCCCATGATTGGGGTGAAGAAATCGACGTTTCTGGGTTCGTCTTCCTCGACTTGGCTTCGACTTTTGAGCCACCCAGCGACCTGGAGAAGTTCTTGGATGCAGGAGAGCCACCTATCTACATTGGGTTCGGCTCGATCGTCGTCGATGATGCGGACCGTTTTACCCAGATGATCTTCGAGGCTGTGGAACTTGCTGGAGTTCGCGCCCTCGTGTCCAAGGGCTGGGGCGGCTTGGGAGGCGATGAAATGGATGTTCCTGATAACATTTTTATGCTGGAGAACACGCCTCACGACTGGCTTTTCCCCCGAGTCAAGGCCTGCGTCATCCACGGCGGAGCCGGAACCACTGCTATCGCTCTCAAGTGCGGTCTGCCGACCATGGTTGTACCCTTTTTCGGCGACCAGCATTTCTGGGGAAGCATCTTAGCAACGAGCAAAGCCGGACCCGAGGCTGTGCCCTACAAGCAACTCGACGCCGAGAAGCTCGCCGAGGGCATCAAGTACTGCCTGACGGACGAGGCAAAAGAAGCGGCTGCCAAAGTCGCCAAAGACATTGAGTTGGAAGGTGACGGCGCCAAGAATGCTGTGCGGACATTTCACCACCACCTGACGTTGGGAGGCATGAACTCGATGCGCTGCTCTATTCTGCGGGACCGTCCGGCAGTCTGGACGCTGAAGAACACCAATGTCAAGCTCAGCGCCCTCGCAGCTGATGTCATCGTCGAGGAAGGCCAGCTTTCTTGGAAGAAACTCAGACTGTTGCGGCACACGGAATGGAACGACTTTGAGGGCCCCGGAGAGCCAGTGACTGGTATCGCGGGCTCTCTTGCCGGGACGATGGGTAATGTCTTTGGTGGAATTGGCAGTGTTCCTTACAGAATTGCCAAGACGTCACATAAGCGCAAGGAGAAGAAGGACAAGAAGAAGAAGCTGAGGGCACTCCGAGATAAGCGCACAAGCGCTAAGGAACGGAAGGCCGCGACGAATGGCGAGACAAGCAATGGCGCCCTTCAACCACAGGAGGGCAATGGCGACAATTCAAAGAAGGAGGGAGATAAGGCGAAAGCGAATGGAGGAAATGACAGTCAAGCACGGAAGAAAGAGGATGATGGAAAAGCCAAGGAGGGAGATGAAGATAAGAAGAACCAGAATGAGCAATCCCAAGCAAACGGAAACGCCTCTTCTTCAAGGCCGGGTGCGCAAGAACGACGCGATACAATGTCTTCGATCGATACCGGAACCACCGTCGACGACGCCGTTGGAGACTACGCAACTGAAGTCGGCGAGGGCGTCGGCAAATCGGCACAAGCCCTCGCGAGAGCACCGGTAGACCTCTCCATGGCCATCGCTCAAGGATTCCACAACGCTCCTCGGCTGTATGGTGACGATACTGTTCGACGTCCGCCACGTGTCACTGGTATCAGCTCCGGATTGAAGGCCGCCGGCAAGGAATTCGCTTACGGCATTTACGACGGCACGACCGGCCTCGTTCGCCTGCCAGTCAGGGGTGCCAAGAAGGAGGGCGTCAAGGGATTTGTCAAAGGAACAGGCATGGGTCTCACAGGATTCGTACTCAAGGACCTCAGTGCCATCATCAGTCCTTTTGGCTATACTCTGAAGGGCATTGCCAAGCAAGTCGAACGGAAGAAGCAGCCCGACCGAGTCGTCCGTCGGGCTCGTCTTGTACAAGGTCAACGCGAAAGACGGAACCTGCCTGGCGATACCAAGAAGCAAACCGACAAGGACGTAATTACTGGGTGGTACACCATCCGCGAACTTCTGGAGACCCTCGAGACCGAGAAGAAGCAAGGCATCAAGGGGGTGTTCTCGCACAAGAAGCAGCGCGTCAACCACGCCGCCTTTGAGAGTGTAGACATTGCCGACCGCACTCTCCAGGCGATCAAGAAGGGTGAGGATATGAGCACCGTCGTCGGCACGGAGAAGGAGCTTCGCAAGGCGGACGAGAAGTTGAAGAGCCCTGCGACTAAGCATAGTGTTGATACGAGGCGGTCGACCGAAACCGCGCGGGCGCGCAAGTCTGCTGAGGATCAAGACGGCTCCGAGGGCTCGGATAAGAACTCGTACAAGAAAAACCATGACATCGCAGAGAACGAGGAAGGGGAGGCGCGGGCTGAGGCGGCAGACCGCGCGGATGCTAGAGACAAGGCTGCCGCGGAAGACGCACAAGACAGAGCGGAGGCTTCTGGGTCCAAATCTCACGATGGAGCCCAGGTTAATGGCACGGCTGGCGGGGAGCACAAGACGCAGACAGAGGAGGGACATCGGCGGCCCAGCGTTGATCGCGCGAGGTCAGCTCAGGTTTAGGAGTTGGGGAGGCTTTCGTCTATACGGCGTTTCTTCTGTTTTCAAGTGGGTGAGAAGAAAGATTTCCAAACGGGCAGACAGACAGAGAGACACACCCCACATCGCCCAGGCATGTTCGGTGCATGCGTTGTTTGGCGTTTGGGAGTCTTTTAGATACTTTTTGACTTATACCCCCCCACCCCCTTTTTTGTGATAAGGCTTGTTAGGAATAGCGAGTAGTTTACTAATTGAGTTAATGTCCAATGAGGGGTTCTGGTGTTTCTTTTTTGGTTGTGACTGATATATCTGCCGCGTCTTCACGCACTGTTAAGAGAGGACCCGAACAGGGTCCACGATGAGGACACATAAGAAACAGACTAACAAAGATATCAACGTAACTCAAAGGTCCTGGGTGAGTCTGGAAACATCTCGACACATGGTCCGTAGTGCTTACAATCTCTGCAGAAGACAACGTCTAATGCTGGGACGACGAACATTCAACCGTATACATCGTAGTAATAGGCAGGTTCTGCCTGTGGTTGCGAGATGTAGCATGTGGATCTGTGGGGTTGAGGAAGCTTGACGTCCAAGGCTGCCTCCCTGCTCACAACTTCGCTGATCTTATCCGAGAACACAAGGCAGGTTTCCTAGTCAGGTGGTCCACAGATGACCAAGCTAGGGGACCTGGAAATTCGACGGAAGCAGCACAGAACAATCGGCCATTGCTGCTGATGATCTTCTGTCACGGGCTCGATACCCACTGATTCCTTCTGAACACGCATGTCAATGACAGAGGGCTCACGAAGACGCGGCTCAAGGAAGCCATTGCCGATCGGTGTCATGTCATCCTCCTCTCAACGGCCTGTGATACTGGCGGATGGGTAGCAACGGATATCTCGGGTATCCTTGGCCCTTCAAATGCTACAATGTTGGAAGACGTTGGCCAATGGAAGACTTCGGATGCGTGGCAGATATCCGATAACGTCAGTAAGCACTGTTGCGGGTCACTCTTTGCGAATTTAGTGATGACTATGCTGGAATCCAAGGAGAACCCTCTCGTCGCCGCCAGCGAGGGTGAGGATGAGGATGACGCTAAAGTTTGGGATGACCCGATAAGCCTCCAGCCTGACGATCCTAATTAGTTGCAGATGGAAATATACGACAACTTCCGTTGGGCCGTACTAAATGCGTGCAAAATAGGATTCATCGTTTCGAGGATGAACAGCAGTTCAGTTTCAGTGCCCAGGACGACCAGTCCCACTTGTCGTGGGCGAAGCGTACAGGTGCTCCCTTGGCCAAGCTTCAATCAAGATGGGAGGCACTCGAAGATGTTGAGTACTCGGTTCAAGACGAGGTAGAGGGAGTCGGAGACTTGCAGTCCAGTAACGAGCGCGGTTCTTCCACGAAGTCGACATATCAAGGCCGAGGTCCCCCTTTAGCCAAATCGATCCTCGAGATGACCCCCGAGTTCTACTGGACCGCCGGTGGTGAACATTGGAACCATAAAATCTTGGAAGTAGTCGCCTCTGGCGTAATACCCACGGCTTACCATGAAGTTGATCCTATGGAGTTGATCCGCTATCGTCTAGAGGCCACCGCAATGGCGGACCGCATCGTCAGCCTTTTCAAGCTCCCGGTCCCGCTTGGCGAGTCTTGCATGAGCTGTGACAGTTTTGGCTTCTACCACAGCGACCTGTGCAGCAGATTCTGTCTATGCCTCCTATACGGGAAGTTGTACCCACGCCCTACGGTGTTCCAAGGTTTCTTTCTTCCTTCCTTCGTCCCTTGAGGTATGTGGCTGCAGCAGTGTCCCTGATGCCCCTGACGGAAGACGAAGCAGACTCGCTTGTTGACGGCATTCTCCGAAACGCTCACAGTCTCCGAAGTGGTGTGGTGGAAGGTGTCGCTGCAAGTGACGAGGTTATTCGGCGGGGTCAAAGTTGGTTGATATCTATCGGCCAAGAGGTCCGTCGGTCGACGACTCCTGACTCCAGTGACGTCGAGCAATTCATACCAATCTAATCTATCGTGTTTGTCACTGAAGGGTGTAGGTTCGAGTGAAAGATTCTATAGTGAATAACTCCATGAAACTTCTCAGATGTAGCAGCATAATGACTAGAGACGTAGGACGACGATGGTTGGAGGACGCACTTAACCTTACCAGGATATCTGATTCGTGATATCAAGATATCTTCGAGACTCCTCGCCTTCGAATTGGAAGTCATAAGTCATAATTCATCCTGCTTCTCGGATGCCATGTCATTGTCCACCAACACTGAACGGCCAGCTCTTTCATCTGCCTACCTAGGGCAGATATCTTTTGGAAATCAACAGGATTTGAATGTGGTATTTTTATCCCAAGAACCCTTACCGCCCGCCTGGTCACTTTACAGAAAAAAGACGAGAAAGAATTCAGAAGGAGGAATCAACCAGGCTGCTTTGAGGGTCAGATCACACCTTTATCACTTTTGGCATCAAACTTCTCAATCTCGACCACGTGCGCCTTCACCTCCTTCCTTCCTTCCCGCACCTTTAGCCCTCCGACTTTTTCACCTTCCCCATCCTTTGTGAGCTGGAAAACCTCGACCCAGCACACACACATCCCAACACACACAGCACTGTCGAGGAAACCAAACAAAAAAAAAGCCCCGAACCCTCCTTCTTGGAGCTTTCGCTAGGCAACATTTCGTCCGCACATCTTCGACGCCAATAGACGAACTTCGTTTCCTTTCTCGCTCACATCTCGCCCACCGTCAAGATGTTCGACGGCAATCACACCAATCCCATCAACGGCTCAGAGTCTGCCAAGCCCAAGGACAATGAGTCCACTGCGCTTAAGAAGGAGAATCCAGCGCTTGAGAGCCACACGATCTCGCACATAGAACTAGCCAACATCATCCACGGTCCGCCCGGCACTAAGCGCGTTATCCATACTCGACAGAACGAAACTACCAATGATCAGACTCCCAAGAACGACAGCGGCCTCGCTTTCGACAACCCCAGAGACCGTCCCAGTCGCAACCCGCTCGGTCCCAATGTGCAGATGAGCGGTTCAGCGGGCCGTCACAAAGGCGGTCGCATCGAGAAGACTGTCATCCAAGATTTCGCTTCCACGATGAAGAATGGTCATATGGACCGACACAGTCCACACCTGTGGCAAAAGTTCGTGGAGGATACCAAGCGTGGTTCTGTGGTGCAGAACGGAGACCGAAGAATCCCTAAGGCGAAGGCACTACGCTGGCGCTCGATGATCTTCCTCCTGCCACCCCAAATTTGGAAGGGGAAGAGGCCATGAACCCGCATGGGTACACTACCGGAAACTTGGAGAATGGAGCCAATAAAGAGTCTCCCACGCCCAGTAGTGATGCCTCGATCGTGGATGAGAAGCCCGCGATGCAGCAGCAGCAACTTCAGCAGCAGGAGATTCAGCTGCTCAATTGTCAACAACAGCACCAATCCGAGCAGCTTCTCGAAGAGCAATAGAAACTCCAGCAGCAGATTCAACAACAGCAATAGGAGTTCCGGCAGCAGCTCCAGCAGCAGCAATTCCCGCAACTCCTCCAGGAGCAGCAACAGAAGCTCCAACGAATTCTTTGGGGCCAGCAGAGACAGTATAATATTTATCGACAGCAAACAAATCCCGTGATTGACCGGTGCGAAAACTGCAACAGAACTGACCACGTCTTGGCTTTCTGCGCAGGCCCGCTCACGGAGCGCGGTGACTTAGACGGCTGTCCCAAGTGCTCTACTGTGAGTCGCGAGTCCGGAGGGGCGAGGCGCCATCGTTGGAGGAGCATTTCCAATTACTCGTCGTGAACCGTCGAGGTTTGGCCCAGATCCGGACAGACGTCGATGTATTCATCCTTGCTTTGGGCTTCATCGATCAGAGCAAGATCTTCCTGGGCAAACAAGGCTATCCCTTGTCGCTGCGTAAGAGCAGAGCCATGATAGAAAACAAGGCTTCGCAGCTGCACTTTGGAAATGTCCCGAATCTCACATATGACCTGGCTCGCAAGTGCACATCCGTTTGGGAAGATGGCAGAACCCGCTCCTTGCAGACCATCGCCAACAACATCTCATTCAACATCCCCAAGAATGCGTCTCTCTAATTCGTTAACAGGAACCTGTTTGCGCAGAGTTTTGTCTCCGATGACAACCTGCGCCGTGAGCTCGACTTGAAGATCCATTCCGGTCACGATGACAGCCAAGCGTTGGAAGCCATCAGAAACAATCCTCATGATCAAGAAGTCCTTAACAAGAGAGCGCAGTGGGCTGTCGAACGCGTCGCCTCCGAATATATCCCAGAGGTCACCAAGAAGGACTTAGGATGGGGGACTCAACTACTTTACGCGTTTATGTTGTACAATATTGAGGGTGCCGAGAGTGTCAAGGTCTTCTTGGAGAGGGCCATCCGGCAGAAGCATGCGGTCGATGTTGTTACCGGTGTCGGGGCTTATTATCGGCGGCATCCAGGTCTTTTGCTGGGAGACATCAGTCAGCGCATGCATCTAGACTCAATGACGAGCGATGCATATGCGCTTGGAAAACGTTGAGCTTTTTTTTTCTAACTTTTTTTTTGAAGAAATTCTTATTGCTCTGGAATGACTCCATCGTGGTTCGAGGACGTCGTCTTTGTGGTGGTGGCTTTTAGCAAGATTGAGAAGTGAACCAGAAGGATGTTGAGGAGAGCAGGGTATGGTATAGCTGTTGTCACGTTAAAGTACTCAATGCACTTGAACGTTTATGCCAGAATCGTCAAAATAATGTGAGATTGACTGCTGAATTCATGGTAATGGCGTTTCGGGACTTACGCGGCGGATCCGACAATGTAGAAGCATCCTGGTAGTCGTAACACCGACAAAATTCTGCATCATTCCATTCCTCGAAAGAATTGAACCCATCGTCGGGGCACTGCCATAGATCTTGTAACGAACGCTTGAATAGAGTTGATTTTGTGTTGGAATTAGTGACGGGAAGCAGTCTGATACTCTTGTCGCAAAGTTGGACTCGTAGTCTTGTCTTCCATCCTCTAATCTTCTGGGACTCTGAGGTCGTAGCAGGCGTGCAGTCTGACACTGCTGTTACGCTCGCTATTTGCGTATGCGTATGGAAGAATGGTTACGGGCTATCGATAGTATTTGTTGTTTCTGCTTACGGAGGAAGAAGAAACAGAAGAAGGAGAAATTGTTGGACTGGCGGCCTCTCCAGGTGATATACCTATGCAATTGACGGGGACCTAGGGAGTTACCTAATGTGAGTAGTAGGTTACCTAAGATATCAGTCGAATCGTAAGGAACCTCCATTCTGACAAGTAGCTTTGTGGAACCAGACATCCATGGTGGTTGGCTGGTAGCTTAGAAGATAGGGTTGATAAGAGAGGATTGGTACGACATAGAAAACACGCAGACAGCTTCCTCGGGCCGGTGCCAGAAATTTGGAGGGGTCACACCGAATCCCTAACATGAAGAGCGAACCACTGCAGCTCAGCGAGGCAACCTCAGAGTTGGCATCAATCGGTGTGAGCACGCACACGGGGGAGGCGGGAGGCGGCAAACGCAGCCGCACAAGCGGATCGGAAGGTTGTAGTATAAAAGTGGATTGATGAGGCTGTAGGGGGCGGTTCAAGCATGGTGCGTTTTGCACTTCTAGTCGCCTGTATTAACTGACTAAACGGGTTTAATGGAGCTTGCCGGAGGCCAGGCAACGATGGAGAAAGGCCCGGATTTGCATGGCTTCTCAGATCTCGTGGTAGTTGTCAGCAATGATCGTAGATTCAGCTGTCTAAGCCCGTGGTTAGCGTGGTTAGCGTGGTTGCCTCAAAAATCACAGAGCCCATGTATGATATTATAGCTATGATACAGGTTTGCGCTGTGAAGCGATAGAGACACACCCCAGCGGTGGAGCAATTCTCTGTGAATATTCACCCAGTTATGACCTGTGTACTTGGTGCTTTCGTGGTGAGAAACCTTGCATTGGTAGTAGAAATGATGGAACTCGAAAATCCGGCTGGAGGGATAGACTCATGACAGCTTGAAAGGCAGGCCGTTGAATATTACATGATGATGCTTTGGGACTCATGCAGATATTCGCTGTAAATAAACATGGGGGATACACATCTTTTCGGGAGGAATATGAAGTGAAGACACGTTCTATCCCAGCGCGTCACTAGCTGGTTCAGTTGAAAGACCTCGGTGCTACAAAGCAGAAGCCTGCCAAGCATCTGTCACTCTGAGCGTTCCGGTGTTCCGGTACGAAATTTGTCCGGCCAATCCCTCTTGAGGCGTGCTTGAACTTCGCGATTCTCGTGCTTGACACAGGTACTTGAAAGTGTGTAGTGACTTCGAAGTAGCTTCACCGACCGGATAACGCCACACCCCAAGCTGTTTTTTATTTCAGTAAAGAACCTGATAGAACGGATCTTGATGGGAAATGTCGAGTTCGGGCTTTTTGTTCACCTTAGTGGTGTGGTTCGCAGGTGGTTCGCATTTTTTTTCAAGCCTCATGCAGGCGCTATGTGCTATGCATGTACAACAACATCGAATGCACTACAACGTTAGCAACCTTAGCTACGTATCATGTTGGTTTGGAGGGCTTCTTTGTGATAACTACCGTCGCTTTAGGTCAATATATCGACCATCACCTCTTTTCAACCACCCCTTATATAACATGCTTATCCCCCATTAGAAAATGCTCATGATGAAGTCTCTACTGCCAAAATCCCTCGCCAATTTGAGACCGCCAGTCTCGCTATTCCAGCCCGTAAGCACAAGGTGGCTGCTATCGCAGGTCTTGAATAAGCGGCTTATTGCTTGTTAGTTGTCCCTCCCCCTTTCCCTCTCTCCGCTAATCTCTACAGATGTTAAGGACTTCACTAGCCCATTCCTTTTCAGAAAACTCTCTTCATTGCTCGGACGTCACAAGTCGCACTGGAATTCTTGAGTATACGATGGCTACTGTAGAGGAAACGCCGCTGATGTTAACTCGTGCCATTGAGTTTTTCCGCTGCGTGACATTTGGCTGCACTTCTAAGCCCTTTCCAACAAGAGCCAACCTGACCCGGCACATAACAGCTGTGCACGGGCCACCAACCAAGATGCCCTGTGGAAAGTTTCTACGCAGTCACTCTTCCAACGTTCGACGCCACCAGCAGAGGTGTTCTGTGTGCCTCTTAACCTACCCCCCAAACCTTCCGGCTCCGGAAGAGAGTCATGCCATGCCTAGACGCCGTCGTTCCCAACGTCTCAGTCGCAATGTGCAACAAGTCACCGTAGACAACGGAATCCCAGCTCAGGACGAGCCGTCGGGTTATGTCATCCCTGATGACCTCTACCTCCAAGCCGCGGACGACGGCACACGAGACACTTCCTACGAAGACAACTTTGCAACATCTTTCTCAGACCCATTGCTGGACACAACTTTTGCCAACACAGGAACGTCGTGAGTGTCTCAAGTACTGTACTTTAGGCAAATTGAATTAAGGGTTTAACGATCTTGTAGTCCGGGCGATAACTACACCTTCAACGGCATGGAAACTTGGGACGAAGTACTTGTCTCCGTAGGTCCCATTGTTAACGGGTAACAGAGCACTAATCGCTGATGTGGTGCAGGTCTCCCCGCATGATCCTAGCGCCGAGTATCTCCACTAGGATCACCTGGGCTGCCTTGTCCATTACCTAAGGTACTTGAGGTACCTAAAAATAGCTTTCAAAGACGGAGACTGGAATCACTTGGATAGCCTTATGTTTGACATGGTGACTGGCCAGCTCCTTTGGGAATGGTTTGGCAGTCGCCTGAAGCCATCGCAGGTGGAGGGTGTGAGTGTGGGAAGTCAGCGGCGTAATGACCGACGCATTAAGGTACATATGTGCTGCTGCTGCCCCATTCAAATCCACGACAACCCATATTGTGTATATTTATTATCTACGATCCTTTTGGAAAAACAAATGTCAGCCTTATTCTCTCATGGCGCGAACACATTTTCTGCTCCCGCGACGCACTGACGACTTCAGAGAAATCACGTTTGCTCAGCGGAATCGTGGCTAATGTAGTCTCTCGTTCCATTTCTCTCCCGAGTAACATTTAGGCGAATAGCCCAACATGCGACAGCGATCCACTTACAATTTCAACGTCCGAGACCTCGAAATCCCGAGGCAAAAGCTTCAAACGGAGTTGTTCAACATACACAAACATAGTTATACCTCCGAAAACCATCGAAGAGAACCATCGAAATCGAACTGCACGACGGAAAAGGTGTGCCAAAGTCCAATACTCCCAAGGAAGCCGGAGTTTGGTGGCGACCTTCTATGGCGGTAACTGGAAATAACGGTCTAGCCTCGAAGGTTCACGCGTTACCTGAAGCTTGCCCCCGGATACTCGTGCATTATTGGCGGCACTGATATGCATACAGCATGAAAGCCGCTCTATGAGGTTCGCGACGGCTACACGGACGTTGTCTTCAAGCCGAGGACCTCAGGTGCATTTGGTCCATTGGTCACGTGGCGCTATTGCTCTGTGCAGTGTTGCAAAGCGGCCGCTGAAGCAGTTGCAGCATTGAATAGGTACTTTGAGACGGAAACGGTAGCCGTCTTCTTCGAAAACACATGGCTAATCGGAGGAGCAACGCATCGCCATTCTCTCGCTTCAGAGTCGAGGTCGAGTCTACTGTCGAGAAATGAGATGCAAGTCACAGCAAGCTCCGGTCCGAGACTAAAAGCCTAAGTTGCCTGGCACTCGCTCGTTGTCACACGCGATGCCCTCGAACTGCATTTCAACAATAGAATTACGACTCTGCGGTCAAAATTTTAGCAGCGTCTTGAGTTCCGAAGCAAATAAGGTACATTAGCAGCCAAACGCAGAAACCCAACTCGGCGGGTTTCCCGAAAGAAATGTGGGGGCGTCGGGTCCGGGCCGGGTGGATATTGTGTCGGCGTCACGGACCTCCGGTGGCTGTTCCCGGCTCACTGAGCTGTCGACAATCGAGTGCGCAAGTTGTGTCTGAGATATCAACATAAGATATGTGAGAAAACAAGACCCATCGCCCATCAGACCGGACTTCATTCAAAGTTACACGGGCGCTCTTGACGCACAATAGTTCAAGCTGGGTCAAGAAGACGGGGTCACCGCCATTAAACGAAGATAGGGGAAGGGAAGGCCCTAACGAGCGAAATATATCCACAGCCGTTATTTAACTCGTACTGTAGATGGTCATCACAGTTTTGTGGGAAAGATCCGAGGTGTAAGTACTAGGTAGGCATAAAGCCTTTTCTTACCTACATTATGGAGATTCCCATCAAGACACGGTCGGTAAGTGTTTCAGGCGTCCAAAATTTTGAACTGTCACAGTCATGTAGATGCTTTTCTTCGATCTCTGCTGTAACGCAACACGGAAATCATTCCGAGCAATGGTTGTAAGTAATCTGTAAAGAAATCCAGAGAGAACGGGAGCTTGACTACATCACCAGGTTGCATGTCCGCCCTCTCGGCCACGAAAAGACATTTTTAGGTGTCTTTTATAGAGTAGTGTAATAAATTTAATATATAGCCGGGTGGTTTGTCTAAGCAAAATCAAACCCAAGCATAACGATACGTCCCAGATTTGATATTTGCAATTTAGTAACTGGAGTCGAATCAGATAGTGATCTATTGACTTGTTCTCACGAATTTATTAACAAGAGCGTAGAATCGATCGAATACGGTCTTGTTACTTTCCGCTTCTTCTCATCATCCTTGTATTGGCATCGTCCTCGCACCCTCTTCCTCGCGATGCCCTCTTCCTCGCGATGCCCTCTTCCTCGCGATGACCCCTTCGGTGCCATGACTATTTCCTCGCGCAACACTCTTTCTCGCAACATCCTACTTTCCTGAGAAGTCCTCCTTCATCGTTTTTTCTTTCTTTCTGGGATTTTTTTTGAAGTCAGCCTGGCAGTATTTAAACATTTACCATTGTACATCCCGAGAGTCGTCGTTATTGCAGCCGAACTCGTTCTGCCTACCACAAAGTCAGTCATCAGAGGCATATCATCGATACGGTTCTCCTTCATCTGGCAGCAAAAATACCTTCTACCGGCCCCTTGACCCATCATATCTCCTGCCCCTTCCAGACTTGTACCACGGTATTGTCGACCAAAGGTAACCAAACAAGACATATCAAAGATCACCATGCCGTCAAGACCTTTTGGATCAAGATGCCTTGCACGAAAGTGTTGAAAAAGAACGCATTCAATATCAAACGTCACGAGAAGACTTGCTCTAAATGCAAGGAAATCCAATGGGCCGGCGTGAGCTTCGACACTCCCACGTCCTACACAAAGGATTTTATCGAGACTATCGTGCCCAAAGACGACCCACTGCCACAAGATACCTTGCTCCGCCATATGCAAGAATCAACGAGTGGAACCACCTCAATTGCTCCGGTACTTCGACTTTATTACTAAAGTCTCAATTCTGGAGATCTGACATCTATATTTTGAGTGTTTTTGAGGGTACGATGAAAGCCCCGAGACCAGAATCGACACTGACACACTGTCTACTGTAGCGTTCGCCCAGTTGCTGGAAGCGGAATTGCTGTTACTGAACCAACTCAGATGTTACATGGATGGGCCGCTTTGACTTTCGGGCAATGCATTCGAATCGGGACGACGCTATCAGACGGACGTTTGATATAACTTGGTATACAGTCTGCGCCGAATAGAAATACTTGATCAGATCCCTCGTGAAATCTGCCGCCGTCACGTGCGCGTGTAGAATCTATCCTGTCGGCCAGCGATTGCCAATCGTTTGATAACGGATCCGAGCCATCGGTAAAAGTGGAGATGGCTACTCATTGTTTTGTGGGGGCATGCTGGTCTTTCCCCGGGCTCCGGAGCTTCTCCTCGGCGGGAAGCCCGGATCGAGTCACAAACCCTTGTGACTAGCGAACACGCCCCAAGGGATTGACAATGTTACAACCAGTGACTTTTCTTACGGCTTGAACATTATTCTTGCCGGGAATGAGGTTTTTGCTTGAAAGCATATCCCGCAATAGGAAGGGCAAGACCTAAGGATACGGCTAATGTACAAACAAATTTGCATGTCTAGTTATCTAATTATTTCCATCATCATTGGGGTCGGAGGCTAGCGGCGTCGTGATTTTACTGGTGCGTTCTAGAGACCGCCGCAGGGCCTTTATCGCGAAAGCATCTTCTCCAGCAAATAAGTGCTCACTGGTCATGCAAGGCAGTTCAAATAAGCTCAGATAGCACTTGTAAGCCTCGAAGATCTAAAGATTTAACGTCGGAAGGAACAGTCTCAAGTCCGGGTATTGCATTGGAGTGGGTGGGCGGGTGTTGGGCATACATGGGTGGCTGCAAACGGCCCGAAATCGTGCTAATGTTCCACTAGCGACTGGTGTAGTCCACATCATCGTCTTTGACTAAATTTATGACCAAGTCTTGAAACTCTAATGCGAAAACAAGAAATGGAGGAAAAGCTGAAGCTTGTTTTACGATCGAGTTGAAACTAGTCAGTCTTTTGTTTGCCTCTTATTCACAGAGAGTCGAACCATGTCTACCTCCAATAAGGTAGTATTGCTTAGACAGCCCCACAAGGGCACTAAATGACTAAGAATTCGTTTGACAGGAAGAACAGCAACAACTCTAAATAGCAACGCAGACCTGCGAACGCCGCCATCCAGACATAGTAACAGCATAGTATCCGCCAGGTCTGAAGCAAGCTACAACGATGTAAGACTTCATAGTGGAGAGGAGGCAGGTGGCTGTTCGAGAAGCGAGTCTAACAATGCGCCAGTGGGCAGCCAACTACTTCACTATCTCAAAGTGAGGCTTCATCACCCTGTCAGCAGTTGAAAAAGCTTCCCACGCGTCGAACGTACGCTACGGGGGCACCGACCTGTTGGTTTCTCTGGCTCGCACACAGTGCTGCTCAGTCTGTGGACGTTGCCGCGGCACGGGATTGAGCGAATTGATAGCCGCGGGCGGAAGAAGGCATCGGAAAAGTGGAAGAGGGGGAGGGGCTCCAGCCTACGCCACGCAATTCGAGTGTCTCACTCGTGATGAAGACAGCCTTCATCAATAGTTCACAACGAAGCTACACACGACTGTTCTCGCCCAATCCTCTAAACTGTCAGCCTTCACTTCAACGATGAACACGGGCTTTGTCCTGGCTATAGCTAAATGAAGGCCCCGTCGTGCGGGATGGCCCGCGCTAATGTGCTAATCAGAGTCAAGAAAGAAGCTGGACCGGCTCAACATTCTTGAGACCCACAGACTATCAAGCCGTCATTCCTCATCACCCACTTCCTAATGTCTCAAGAGCAGCGATAGCTTTGGTGGACTTAGTTGTCCCAAACCCAATCGCAGCGCTGTCTTTCAAATGCTGGTTAGCTACCACGAAGTCTGACAACAGCATTTAAGCGGCGTACAATCTGCTTACTGAATGATTGTTCGAGAAGTAGGCCAAACGGTGAGGTAGAACTTACTTGAGGCATGCAAGATACCCCCAAAGTTAAATTCTCAGCTACTTTGTACTGTTGTCGTTTGGTCGGCATTCACTTCCTAGGGCAAATTCGCGGATTCGGTCAGATGCTGATATCGTTGGAGAGCAGCTATGGCGTCCTGCCTGTCAACAACCACTTCCTCAGTTGCTACCTCTCCAACTTCGGATTCTGGATTGGTCCCATTTCCGGCCCGTCGGATGTTTAAAGTGTAGCGGGTAGTTTCCCTGTCTAGATCAGGGACGGGACCGAGGGTGTGAGGAGGGGCGTGTCTGCAAGATGTGGACGCTGACAATGTGTCTCGCCTTACTTTCAAGGATTCTCAGAACACTGTGAGAATGAATGGGAAGTCGTCATTTACTTCAACGGCCAGATTTTCAGCTATTCGGTCGTTTTTCAGATAATCTTGGCAGCTTCCGCGTCATCCTATCATTACGACTGCCGTCCATTCTGAATAATGACTCCCCCTTGTAGCTATCTCTGGCCATCATTGCCCAGAGATTTGCGCTAGGCTTTCAAAGCTTGATGCCTGGAATGAGCGGCTGACCACTGACTCCGGTCGTCTGGCTTAGCTCCCGTCATCTTTCTTTCAGAAGGGGGCACATCAAAATCTCCAGGTAGCGGCGTAGGATGGAATGACAACATGACAGTACCTTCGACCATGTGCTTCTCAGACATCCTTTTATTTCAACTGGGGGCCATTTGGAAACAGGAGATTTTCCGTCCCAGGCCGTCTAATGTTGTTTCTGCGTTTAAAGGCTGACTCGGGATGGCGAGAAAAACAGTAGCCGCATTCCTCGGGAGCAAGGCCTGACAGCCGATACATCGTTCTTTCCCTCCCTAAGTCTCAACTCTTACCTATCTTGGATGGTGGTTGCCTTGGTCGATTATAACTTTAGATACCCGCCCTCAGGCCAGCCTTTGAGGGCGTGCCGATATTCGCTTGTGAGGTCTATTCTCGCCTCCTGGGCATCATACGCCATGTGCGATTCATTTGTCCTTTCTGTTGCCCGTCTCTTCCGTCCGGACGGCAACATACGGTAGCTGTATTGCATTATATCTCTTTTTGACTCATTCACCACCTGCAATCTCTCATCTGGCCAGCTGCCAACGAGTCTCCTGGCAGGCACTCGGCTCTCCGTGGCTTGCCCCCTTCTCGAGATAGACCACCACCCCTCGACTTGACCCAGAAGGCTTCCTAAAGCTATGACTCCGCATTATGTTCTTTCTGGTGTCCGTATCCGCGAGTGATGGAGGACATTTGACCGTTGCCTTGTTTTCCTCATGCGCACTACGAAAAGGTCATGCCCAACCCCGCCCACCTTAAATACGTGCCCCTCTCTTGAAATATGATCGGAAGTGGACGTGGACACACAATTCTCTCTCTTCTTATTCCTCAATGACCCAGCATGGGGTAAAATCAGTAGACCTGCGCATCATCTCCGAAGGCGAGAGCCCCAATCGCCATGACTCCTCGAAAGGCACTCGCATGCTGCGGTAGGACATTCGCTCAAAAAGGCAATCACGAGAGACACATCAGAACCGTGCATTCAGATCGTAGAAGAATGCCCTGTGGTAGATTGCTCAAGCCTAGGTCAGACAACGTTAAGCGCCATGAAATGCGGTGCGAAACTTGCCGATGTTCTCGCAGAGGCCATTCCGCGAGCGAGAACAACTCGGTAATCAAATCGAAACCCATTCACATTGAAGATCAAACTCCTACAGTACTCTATGACCCACGTTCCATGGAGCCAATCAGTGTCGAAGGATTCGACCAACGACATTTGGAAATAGCACCAACGGCAGACTCCAGTCAAGCAACCGGAGGCTTGTCTTTGGCCACCATAGACTCGGCCATTCCTGCTGAAATTGAGATACAGATTGGCTCAATCGACAGCATCTCTGAATTTCAGGTGCCGTCAATTTTGTTTGATACAGCCTTGTCGAACACCATGGAAGGGCACATAAGCCATGGCATTGGCAATTTTGAAGACATCTGCACATACCACTACCCATACACTCCCGACGAGTTAGTTCATTTCGAAGAAGAAAACGCATAGTAAGCACTACCAACAGACTTATTTTGCCACGAGCCATCATTGAAACATCCTAGCCACGGGTTCACGATGGTGGGACGGTTGACTAGAGGGGAAGGTCACTGGCCTGACAACTGTCAAACTGAGGAGGGATTCCAGGGATTTGGCTCACCCGGATAAAACCAAGGATATTAATGGGCATTTGAGCTTTGAATGAAAGCCGAGAGCGGATTCTTGTTGCGTCAGGAGGCACTTAATAGCAATGTGCTAAATATCGATCATTTCTCTCAAGACAAAATTCTATGTAGTGCGCATCTCCCGGATTCGCAGAGAAAACGAGGCTGAAATCAAGGTGTTCTTCTACGGGTAGGCACGATGAACCAAGATCTTTGCACTGGAAAAGCACGAATGACAGGGAGCGCAGCGGCCCGGGAATTCCTTCTTGCTGTCGCCCTTCGCCCATCTGTGCGGATGAATCTAAACAGTCTTCCTTATCAGCCAGCCATCCGGACACTGACCCACCTATCAGAGTCAAATGACCAAGCAGGGCTTCCCCAAGCTCTGCATGCTTGACGCCTCGTCGATCATGTACGAGTGAGGGCAAGACATTCCGTTGCACACAGTGTTCATGGGCTTGTTTGCGGCCGTTCTCTACTCGTATTGCCTCGCGCACGGTGGCCTACTACCTCGAGGAAGCCAACTAGAGCAGGCCGGGCTGTCACATCGGCTGCCTGCATCGGACTTCATGTACCCAGGCATGGGCGGGGCGAGAGCAAGGCCATATATGGCCAGCATTGAATGTGAAATTCATCTTATCCTCAATGAGCTCCATGCTACCAGGCCATTAGCATCTAGCCAATTGAATTCTCATGAAGTGTGCGTCATTGACATGTGATTCCATAGATACTGCTCAATCGTTTCGCCGGTCTTGAGCCGTGATCTGGTTCAAAGGGAGGCCATGAGGTCAGCCAGATTTGCTTTCTTCTTTTTGCCTCTTTTCTAGGGTACGGCATCCAGATGTCAGGACCTACATTGCGTAGAATCTAGAAGCTGGCGTGGTCGGTATCTCTACTTGAACTGACAACATCGCTGCAATCGGGCTTTGACTTGAAATTGGTCCAAGCCGGAGCTGTCATGATGCCATCTCAAGTGGTCTCCATACCGGTAGCTCCGATGAGCTTCAGAGGGGTTAGCGCCAAGTCAGCGCCACACGCCTGGCCGGTCGTCTGTACCTTGGTTCCTTTGTACCTGGCCACCTGGCTGAGTCGTCTTGGCAGGGAGAGAAACATGTATCTTCTACGTACTCCTATGAGCACATGTGCTCAAGGCAACGGGAAAGCTTCAAGATGCAAGAAGATAAATTCCCCGCTCAAAGCTGCATGACCTGAAAAACATTCATACTGCGGTACTTGATGAGAGTAACGCACGCATCTATCGAAGTTGCCAGGGCACATTACATGGACGATATTTTCATTACAATTCGCAGGCAGTCTCCTATACCATTGTGATAAAACGGTTGCGTGTGCACGTTCTCAAATGCAGTAGGTGCCGTCTGTCTGAAGTCCGATCCCGGCGAAACGGCCGACCAGGCGGCCGAAGACCGAAGGCCGTGCGCCGGAGTGGGGCCGAATGCAAAAGTAGAGTTGGCAAGCGGCGCAGGGCGCTGCTTGAGGTGTTTCGCGGTCTGCTTTACCTTACCCTACCTTATATTGGCTCGTGCCAAGCCTCGTTTAATAAGGCAATGAGTACCTGCTTATTGCTTATCTAACTATTGCAGAGGGAGCATGATTAATCAAATATTGCATGCCGTGCAGAATGCGCCTTCTGATTCTCCCTAGCCCGGGGAGCTCAGACTGGGGTTAGTCGACGGAAGGGGGGGATTGGATTGGGGTGACGCTATAATATTCGATGTCATTGAATAGTTTTGATAGATTTTCGGTTGGAAAAGGAATGATCTGATGGCTTTCTCATGGAAAAAGATTTCATTGTCAAGAGACATCGATGCGGCAGCACCCATCTTGATAGCTCGTGAGATAAGCTTCCCTGCAGTGCACTGAGGCATCAAGGCAGAGGTACCTGAATCAAGCAATCGCGAGCTGGCTGCTTGTGGTAGGATTTCCACGGTCTTTCATGTCGGGGCGATGCGTAAGCCTCACCAATGATATAGACTTGACAAGGAGGTTCCGCAAATGGCTTTGAAACGATTTTCTTCGCCGCTATCATCCTTCATCTCTACAGAGCTGTTAGTGAGGCGAGTCTGCAGGGTTCGGTTGACAAGGGGAGGTTGCCACCCCTGTCTGATTAGCCGCGGATGCTTCGCGGGAGTAGCCCATCATCACCGACATGTGGAGCGTCATCAGGCAAGCTCCGAAGTAATTGTACCTCCCTAACCTCGAGGCTCTGTTGAGTCTCTTCTTCTTAGTGTCATCCGTGACCGAGTTACTTCGACGGCAATTTGGGGGCCAGGCAACGAGGTGTTCAGCTCGGCGGGGTGACGCCACCACCAAGGATACTGTTGACGCGCCAACTAATCCCGTAAGGCATTCTGAGAATCACTCATCGTACGTTGACCGACCAGTACAGGGGAAAAGAGGCCCCAAGTAACTATCTATCAAACACCGTATTGCGAAGCGTTCTCCCATGTCCGTATGTTTCTTGACGTCTTCCGGCTTGGCTAGTCTGGCTCCCCTTGATTGTTCCTCAACAGTCTTGCACAGCCAACTTAGCCAAATGCATCCAACTCCCGGGTTGGAAAGGCCGTCACTATAGTGCTGCGTTAGTCTAGTAGTTGGAAGAAAGTGCGTGATGTACGTGAATGAGGTCCAATTAAGCTCGCTTCAGCTCACGCCAACACTGAATCTTTCATAAGCAGAAGAGAGCGCATTCGGACCGACTTAATCGCAGATGCTCGGATGGCTTGTGGCATATAGGACAGGGAAGACCCCCCTTTGAATGTTTAGACGCCGCGCGCGAGCCTTGACCGAACTAACTAGGTATTCGTACCTTATCATCGGTAACGGGGAATGGCTTCCGTATTCCGGGGCTGGGATAAAGACTAGGTATCGGTCTCTTTATCCCTGTCAGCATGTCCGTCATCATTCTGAGAGGCTGAAAGAAAGTTGGCGTTGAAGCCATTTTGCGGGCGGGTGCGCCGCCCCGGCCGCTTGGTCAAGCGCGACAATCCAACGGTGAGCTATCCGTACATTCTTTTTTTCTTCTGTAAGACCAAACCACCCATAAGCGAGACCAAATATCCTCGCAAACCCTTCGGGCACGTGGGAATGATCAAATACGCGGGGTATTGGACAGGAATTAGGCTAATAAAACGACCAGGAGAATGATAAGAAAAAGGTACCTAAATGACCACAGAAATCAATGAAAGTTAACTCAATGGTTAGTTGGCCATGATATTCAACCGCGTCAGACTACAGGTACAGTCAACAAACGTCTGAACATCTCTGCATCGACTGGCTACAGGTGGACAAGCAGCTCTTCTCGGTTGACGCACGCTTGGCAGCCTGGAACAGGTGAAGAGTGGACATTTGGGGCCTGCTCATTTCTCAGCTGCGGCACAGCGGTTTGAAAAGAATTGGAACGAACTCAAATTTACGGCCACGGCACCTTGCGGATAGCCACGGTTCTTTCCACGCACACCTAATTTTCCCAATGATTTTCCCAAAAAGAAAAGAAATAGGGGTCTGCTGCAAATTTGGCAGGCGGCAGGGAGCAATTTGTCGATATTTCGTTCCAGCATATGCCAGATGCAGCGCACAGGGTGCATTGCACCGGTGCCAATTGTTGGGCCTGACCTGCAGGTCTTCTGTCGCAGGATCTGCTCTAAAACTCATTTCGATTCGCTCGGAGCCGACGCAGAATGAACGCGTCGTGGGGTGCAAGCCGACACGGTTCGAATGGGCCCCGGGGAGTCTTGGTACGATGTGTTATTGAGATTCCCTTTCTAGATAGCGAAGAACTTGGACAGACCAAAACGTATTCTGGCGCCATTGCAAGCACACATAATTCCGAAGCAGTTTAGCTCGGGTACGAATCCGCGTCTCCTATTGAGATACAGCCTTCATCTTCGGACCCGGCGGGCCAAGCTTTGTTCCAGTTGCGCCGATACAAGCGGTGTGCTTACGACTTACACCGACAATCATCCTCAGGGACAAGTCAAACATCTCGGGGTGAGCATGAATCCCCACCACCTCCGGAGACGGCCATCTTGAAAGTACGCGGGTACCGGTAGGCTTCCCCACACACACTCGACGTTGCCTGCAATCTCCGCATTGATCAAGTAAAGAACCGCCAGGACAAGTACTCGGGAAAAAGAAAAGTTAGTCCTAAGCCGTAGCATAGTGACGCGAAGTAAGCCAAGGTTAATCTTATCACGTACTCCAGGGTTGGAGTTTCGCGACAGCTGGATCCCATCTCGAGTCTTTACTGAGTCTGAGTTTGGTTTAACTCTAGGCGTGGAGAAATGAGTATATATTTGAGCAGAACCCTTCGTCTGAGTCTAGGTGAAAGCTGCTCATCGACACTCGGAATCTTTACACTCCCCATCCAAATCCCTTCTCGAGCTTTCCCATACTCCTCCGCGACTTTCGACCGCTCAACAAGCCAAACATGGCTCCTCAAGACCTCCCAAGATGCCCCGAACAGAAATGCGGGTTCCGGGCTACCGCAGACTGCTCCCTGTTCCAGCATCTTCACGACAAGCATGGACCGCCGGTCCATATGCCATGCGGAGTCTATACAATCTGCACCACCCATCACTTTCGAACCCACCGTAATTCCTGCCGCGTTTGCTGCAATGAAATTGCGGCCGTAGAAGTCCCTATGACTTCCGTCGAACGCGATGGAAGTGTCGACTCCGAGGGCACTCCTGAAGGCGAACTTCAAGCCCGACCCGTTCACCACGGCGGGATCGTTGTCAACGGCACAAACAACGGCAACATCCACCAGACGTTCAGATGCGATTCTTCGGCCTGCCCCGCCAGCATCTCGAAGTAGATCGTTCACCGGTCCGACAACTCGTCAAGCATGACGTTGTGGGATTCTGGGAAGCAAGGTCACGGGTGAAAATGTACGATACAAGAGGATTTATGGCTTTGCGATGGAATTTGGCCGAAAACGGGAGTTGGAGTCATCATTTTGGATAGCAGTATAGCATAATGATGATGGAAGCGATGGAGTCAATGGGATTGGATACCCATCTTGGTCTACTTTACTTCATTTGGAGGACTTATCTTAGATAGATTAGCTAGAATAAAACTTTTCACCACACTAAAGCCTACGGAGCTAGTTTCGTTGTGCTACATACCTGCCTCAGACATCTTTAACTTGCTTCCCATGCCCAGATAGTGAACCTGACCCTCCTGACTTGTGTTATCCCCTCGTCAGTACACTGAGTGGGGAAAGCTGGCTCTTCTTGGCAGCATGCCCATATGTCAGGCAATATGATGCTTAACGGACTTTTTTCAGACGGAAGTGGAATAGTTATTGGGGTTTGCGACTCTGTGCGAGTGGACAGGGGTACTTTGCTGTTGAGTCCGCAGCTTGGGATCGAGATGGAAACACACAAGACAGGGCAAAGGCTAGTCAAATTGACGAAATGTGCAACATTTGAAACCGATAGTACAGCACCGGTAATAAGTTGAGTCATTTCTAGAGGTCGATAATGCGCCATCCTGCTGCCCAGGTCTAGGTAGGCCTCCGGGTAGCTCACCCGGCCTGGCCCCGGAACTGGAACCCACACACCCTCCGAAAGGATGAGGGAAGCCGCTCATCATATTTATTGCATGAGATAGAGATTCTCGAGACTAGTGGTGGCTGCCTTTGGTCGCCTTGTTGAGATACCGGGTTGAGTATGGGTATTCCGCTCCCAAGGAGGTGGTATTGGAGGAGCGTGCCCTCCTCCCAAGACTGAGGCTTCCGTCAACTATCATGAGAATCACCGCAGAAACCGGAACTCGAAATATGACAAATTTAAATGGTGTCCAGAGAGTTGTATAGTCTTTTGGGGTCTCGGAGTCCTGGCCGATATCAGGGTTTTGGCCCTACACACTCACAGCCGTATTGCTCTTGCTACAATCTTGAGCCCAGGATGAGGAGATGATGGGTGCTGGAATCCTTCAGTTGCATGGGCTCCAAGCAGAAGAAGCAAAAAGACGTTCTACTTTCCAAATTGACACATTCAACCTTGTTCCAGGAATACCGGGTGATAACGATGGGCATCGGAGGGGGCCCCGGTGGAGACGGTGGAAGTAAACGCCCTTGGAACTGGTCCAAAGTTTGGGCTACAGCTAACCAGGCTTGCTGCTCCTACTCCTGCTTGCTCGTAATTGCTCAATATCATATTATGCGACTAAAAGGGGCCATTTGAAGCGTGTCTTGCTGTCCTTCCTCGCGCGAGGAGAGGTGGCAGCGTCCGCTGGTGGACCAAAGTGCAGGACACCAACACCCTCCCCCTTTTCTGGCCCCCATAGCCAGCACAGCATCACGAACCCATGTAGAACCCAATGGAATCCAACCGAAACATCCTTCTGTCTGAAATGCTGGTGCGCCTCATCGAACCGCTCGATGCATGGTTGCCGCGCCTGGCAGGCACACTTCGCGAGGGCCTCCTCGAACGCAGGTCAACGACGGGGAGCGCGAGATCGGCATTCCGGCCGCGATGTGAGTGTGAGCTTGCATCTTGCCTGTGAGAGATCACTATCCGCCACGAAGCCATTGCCTAGATTTACATCCTTCTTGAAGCGGGCGCAAAAAACGGTTTGGCGGTGCAATCGTGTCTCTCAGCGTGGTACGAGTGTGCGGCCAAGCATCCAGAACCCGCCCACACCGGGATCTACCACGCCAGGGACCAAGTAGGAATGTCTTTTTATCGAGGTTCACGACGAAACTGCAGCTGAAAATCAAGTGACTTACTTGGTAACGTTCGAGGGGCGTCTTCAGACTCGGTGTGGCAGCGCACCAGACCCGCTGAAGGAAACCCATGACGTCCACATCAACTGGAAAAAAATTAAGCGCCGTCAATCTCTCGATTAGGAAACAGAACTCATTCATCATTGGGGACGTTCGGGGCCACGACCGTTTTTTGCGTTCGCAGAAAAGGTCTCTCTCATGCGGCCGGCTTGGCAGTTCGTTGGTTCGAGGTTACATCAAGAAACCCCTCGGCTGTGAACCTCGCCGACAAAAAGTAGAAACACAGCCCGATAAATCTGCCTTGCCAAAATTTTCCTCTGACGAGATGGAAATCTTGTTGTCAAGAAGCTGACGTGCGGCTGGCTGCCTGGTTGCCTCACACCCGTCTCGACACGGCCGGACCTAGAAAATTTCTCCTGGTAAAACACAGTCGCCCTCGAGTTTTCGTTATCAGTGCTTCCTTCCTGATGGTATCTAAGCCTCTGAAATGCTTCCAGAAACCCGAAAGCTCATTCCGGTCATCTTTTCCCTCTCGATATTCGGAAATTTGAATTGGGCCACTTTTTGCCGTACCTCAAGTCGCCGTCCAGGGCTGCGGCAGGCCTACGGACCTGATTTTTGCTCGAGCGAAAGCGCAGGGTAGACGTATCGACTCTCGTTTTATTACTCGTATGACGATTCAAAGACCAGTGCTGACATGTTGGATGAACAGATTCCGAACTCGCGTTTGTTTCCCTTTCTCGATCGACGAAGCCAAGACCGAACTTGAAGTCCCCAGGGACACATGTCAACTGAGGAAGCAAAGTCGCAATGTCTAGCAAAAAGGCCGCGAGAAAAGATTCTACACTACCCCGTACACTGCCTCGTGACCAATAAACAAGCTCCTGTCCTCCTCGCGTCTTCTTGGCAGGGTTCTCTGTCTGTCCCGGCGATGTTGAGCGAGCTCTCTTCCCCTCTTGAGCAGGCGTCAGGTCTGTCTGCTCCCGCGTCATCGTAGCAAACCCTTGCTCCTTTGACCAGACCACATAATGTAGTGGGTTCTCTTGAGCCCAATCCTTATTCTTCCCTTCCCAAGCACGAGAACACGCCTTAAGCTGGTCGGCTCGCGTTAGAGACAGTCGACGTGGGGTTTGTCGCACCAGTCCAGCAGTGTCCCGTACCGCTTCTCGCCAGGAAAGCTCTTCTCAGTCTCAAGCCACACAGCGATGTGCATTTCTGCATACTCGATATCGCTCTTGCAGGGTGCCGAGGCCAACTGGAGATCGTACTCGGCGACCAGAGACTTGTCAGGACTCAGCCGGTGTGTCTTTTCTTCTAGATTCCCGCTTATGGAACCCGTGGTATTCTTCAAGAACGAAGAGACATCGATCTTGGCGATGGCGTCGCTCAAAGGTGTGCTCTTGCAAGTCATAAACACCTCGCGAGCCCAGTTGGCGGCAGTTCTGTACACCACGCCTAACAAAAGACCGCTCCATACGTTGATTGTACCATTGTTCTTCGGACCAAAGCCAATCGCATTGATCGTGCTGCCCTCTAGGCACTCGCGGTGGACGGTTTCGACACGTAGGAAGCCCGGAAGCCGCCTCTTCACATTGACAAGGTCTGCGCATACGTGATTTTCAAAGTCGAGGCTTCTGGGCATACCGAGTTCAAAGGGCCTTCCCTCGGGGCATGGTTCGCCAGGGAAGACCATGTCCCACATGCGTTGTCGAGTCTCGATCGTGGCAATATTCGGTGAGGTCCGCATAAGACTGGGCTGTTCGGGTATCGCGTAGAGCCCGCGCTCCATTCTACTAGAGGCGGATGGCATCGCTCTCATGGCCAAGTCCTTCTTAGGCTATGTGCCCAAGGGAAGGTCTCTGGCTTGCTCTGATCGACTATGTGGTGGTTAGCATAGAGAAACCTGATTGACGGTTGATATTTTACCTTTCTCCATGGCCATACGCCAGACAGCAAAGTCGATGGCCCAGTTGAGAATGCCTTGACGGGAATGGAAAGGAAAGAAGATATTTTTTTCGCTTTACTTTCCTTCTTAGAGGTAAAGTAAAGTAAGGTACGTTGGCATGTGGGAAAAATTAAAGATAAAAAGTGAGGAAGTGTCGAACGCAGGGGTACAGCGAGGATAAAAAGACAACGAAGGACCACATCTTCCCAACCCTCCAGACTAGGACCAACGCTAGCTTTTTCCCGTCCCAGGTGATGAAGCTACTCTTACCACAGGATTAGGGGCATGTCTGACTACCTCGTGGTCTCCCATCTTGTTCATATACAACAAAAGGAAAGCTTTAGCCTTTCAGGCCTTTTGGGCAAGATACCACTGCTATAGCACAAATATTAAATACTTCCATTGATATCCAATACCACGTAAGGCAGGAAAAGGAGGATCAGCCGAAGATAAAACTCCCTGGGATGGGACAAACAACTTATGTGCCCCTGTGCCGAAGGATTTTTTTCATTTTATTTTTTTCCATTATTCAAACCTGAAGATTAATCGATACAGCCGCACACGTCTAAGCCAAACGAACGCCGAAAGCAACTCAATACAAGCTACCAAGATCACCCCTCATCTAAAGGCCAACCCAAAGAAAGACTCCTTTAAACCAGGCCTCTGCAAGCCGTGTAAAACCAACTGTACTGGCTGAAAAGACAGATAATCCCGAAGCACCATTTGTACATCTTCCAACATGGTATTACTTGTACGAGGGGGTGGGTAGACAGGAAGCCTACCAGCGGCGTTTGCCCCTCAGTTCTTCTTGATCTTCAATACGATCCACGCCGCGATGCGGTATCCGACGACGATGGAAAGCATGATACCCACGTCCCTCCCAAAGTGATTCTCCGTGTAGCCGTACGTGTCAAGCACGCCCTGGCCCGCAATCTTGCACTCGCTCGCGAGAGGGGTCTGGTACATGCACTGGCACCCTTTGCCGCAGGTATACGTGCGCTGCGCAAACTCGTTGTGCATCATGCCCTCGAAGACGTACTTTTGGTAATCCCAGTAGTGGAAGACGTATTTGTAAAACGAGTTGAGAATGGTGGGGGAGACCATGAAACCGTTCACGCTCATCCAGAGGCCATTTGCGAAAGCGACGAGGGCGAGGCTGATGACGAAGCTGGGGAAGAGGGAGACGAAGAAAACGACGAGAGACTCGGCCGCGAGCAGGTCGAGGAAGAGCCAGAGGACCCAGATGAAGAAGGCCGAGGCCGAGGGGCGGAAATTGGAGAGCCAGTAGGAGATGACGGAGAAGATGAGAGCGATGAGGAAGAGGTAGGGGATGCCGATGAAGAAGTTTGAGATGAGGAGGGCTGTGGGGCCGTAGAGGCCGTTTTGGTGGTCTTTTACGTATTGGTCGCGGTCTTCGAGGAACTGGCGGGTGATTTGATGTTAGTTTATGAGTTTTGAAGGGAGGAGGGGTTCGCGTACGCTAGGGACTGCAGCCACTGCCATGAAGCTCATAAAGGCACCACCGAAGAACTGGTTCATATGTTAGTAAAGCCCACATGATGGGTTTGATTTGAATGAGATGTCCTTACAATGGCATTGGTCAAGGGGATAATTGACTCTTGATCGGTCGAAAGGCGAAGCCAGACCGTACCCATCATGATAGCCAAACCTAATCCTGTCAGCACACCACTCCCTAGCCACAAACAAGCATCTAGATAACTTACCCGTATACATGGCAAACCGGATCCCATACGCCACAACATCCCGATAACTCTTGATGAAGCTCCGATGCAGCAACGTAAGCGCAAGACTCGGCAGCCCAGGCTTCTTCTCCGCCTGATCATCTTCCAGCGAATTGCTATGCTTCTCAGCATCAGAAATGGCAAGCCGCAGCTCCTTGGCCGGGCGTGACTCCTCCCAGGCGCCGTGCATCGCCTCGAGCCTCTGCGCCGCCTCGCGCTTGTCCTTTACGAAATCCGTGTTGACCATCTCGAGCACGTGCTCGGCCGGGTTCACCTGCAGCGGGATCGGCATGCCGAGGGACTCGTAGTAAGGGACCACGTTGCCAACGGGACCAAAGTAGTGCGTCTGGCCAGCAGATAGGAGGAGAAGCTTGTCAAAGAGGTTGAAGGTTGAAGTGGAAGGTTGGTGGATGGAGGCGATGACGATGAGCTGTGTGTGTGTGTGTTAGGTTCCGGGTTCCGTCAATGGTTCCAAGGGGGCTCTCTACTTACGTTGCTCCTCTTAGCCACGGTCTTGAGGTAACTAATCACCTCAAAACTCGCCGCAGAATCCAACCCGCTCGTCGGCTCGTCCAGAAACATAATCTTCGGGCTTGTGATAAGCTGACTCGCCACACCAACACGCCTCTTCTGTCCGCCCGAGATGCCCTTGCGAATCGGCGTGCCAATGATGGTGTTGGCTTGCTCGTTGAGACCGAAAGCATTAAGAAGGCCGTTGATGCGTGCGAGGCGCTCGCTGGCGGGCAGCGAGGAGGTGCTGGAGAGGCGTGAGGTGAACGAGAGAGTCTCGCGGACGGTGAGGGAGCCGATGAGGGCGTCCTCCTGCTCGACGAAGCAGCTCATCTGACGGAACTGGGAGCGTGAGGGCTTTACGCCGTTGACGAGGACAGAGCCGGAGACTGAGGAGGCGTTTGTGGGGCGGCCCGCGAGGACGTTGAGGAGGGTTGTCTTGCCGCAGCCCGAGGGGCCCATGAGGGCACAGATTTCGCCTTGAGGGGATCATGTTAGTATCGGCGACAATGTAGTTACACAAGTGCGGTGGCCTACCAGCCTCCACGAGTCCATTGACGCGGTCGACAATCTTCTTGGGCTGCTTCGTCTCCCTGTCCTTCACGGTGACCTCGGTGCCCTCCCACGAGATGTTCTGGACGGTGGTGTTGAGCAGGTGGGCGTCTACGGATCCCATCATCTCGACGTCGTGCTCGAAGAAGCTGTTGTTGTCGCCGTGCGTCATCTTGGTGTGCTCCTTCTTTGCACCCGAGGCGTCGCTGTCTCGAACCGTCATGGCGTCCTGTTGTTGTCTTTTTAATATTCTACCGAGAGACTGTTTGTTGTAAGTCGTCGATACTCGACCAGGAAATCTAAGGGAAAGTGTATGTAATTCAAAGATTTGATTAACCACAGTGGAAGGGAATCTTGAGATAGAATAGTGACAGTGAAACAAACAATTATAGAACAGCTGGTAAAATAAGGAGAAGAAAGCAAGTGTTATATGAGATCCGATCCTCCTCCTTCTCCACTGCCTCCTCCTGCACAATCCTTATCTGGGGAACCGACATCCGCCAAGACATGTAGCCTACCCGGCTCGCAAGGGACGGCTTTACCGCCGTCTCTGCTGCATGTGTTGCTTTGCTGTACTCCGTACTCCGTACGAAATAACTAGCGTAGGTAAGCAACGGTAAGCTGGGGGTGTGCCGGGCCGTTTGAGGCTGAAGCAGTGCATTAGGCTTCATTCCTGCCCGCACTAGTAATCGGCGACCATCATGTAAGATGTCTCTTTCTTAGCTCCCATACCACACCCACATACAACCCCGGCTCTTTTTCCATAAGCCAAAAAAGAACAGAAGGGAGAAAAAAAAATGCGCCGAGGTAAGGGTGCGGCGCAGACACACACAGTTTGATAGTACCCTACACAACAAGCGAGCTAACACGGTTGGCTCGCGCGAGTAACGGCTGCAGCACTCGTACCCCTTATCCACACAAACATCTAGGCACCATTCATTGTTCATGTGCTGCATGTACAACATAATGGGATAGGATTCATCTCACTTAAAGGGTTTTCTCCATAAATCTCGAAGGAAGTTGCGCTGCTGTCCTAGGTATGCCGTGCCTGGGCGGGTGGATCGGTATGTCCGGCAAGGGTTCGACATGCCCAGACTTGCCAGACTTCAGAGTACGAAGTCTCCTTTTGGGAAACCAGGGCCGATGCGGGTATCACTTGGCAAAGATCGTGGCAATGACGTCGGAATAAATCCCCGATGGAACCCTAGACGTACCGACGATGGAGACACTTCATCTATCTCACAGTAGTAGCGTAGCCGTGGGGGCCGGTTATCTCCAAAGCCGCACCGAGTGGGTGTGTTGTGTTGAATTCTGGACGGCCACCTTGCTTTATCACACCTACCGACGGGAGACATCACAAGAAAACCATCTGAGCTTGTGAGGATGGTAACCGTTCAGGTCCCCCCGACTTCCCGCCGCGCCGCCGGCCGGTTGCATCCATCCCGCATCTCCCGCCACTACCAAACCAACCTGCAGTGCAGTGCTACCTCGAAACCAAACAATCTTACACACGAAAACGAGGTTCCTGCCGACAGCCGAAGGGGAAACATCAACAAACACGGTCTGAACTCTAGCTTTCAATAGCATGGGAAACAAAAGCTAAAACTCAACGAAGGGCGGGGGAAGGGAAGGGAAGGGAAACATCGAATGGTCCCCGAGATGAAGGGTCGCGTTGAAGAGTTCGGACGGGGGGTGTTTTGTGGGATGCAGGTAATTAAGTGGACGCCGAGAATGTGGCGACGGGTATCTGGATTTGGATTTGGCGCTCCGCTAATTTGCGTTGAGACACCGCACACATAATTACACGCGCAAACACTTACGGAAGAGGTACTTTGTAGAGATTAGGTACGGATACGGCGCAAACATACAAATGAGACGTCCTGCTTATTACCCTGTAGGCGGTGTGCATGCACCGGCTACCTTGCGGTACTGTGTACAGCTGGATCATGTGGCTGCATCTAAGCCACGTGAGGCGATTGGACGAGTTTCAACCAGAAATCTCACTCAAGCCCGAAGGGCTGAGTTTAGGTTGTCCACGTCGTGCTCCTCCGACGTGGTGGTGTCAAGGTGGTATGTCGTCGAATCATCGAATCGTCAAAAAAAAAAAAAGATTTGTCGTAAAGAAGAATGGGGACTAGCTTAATTAACGGGGGACACCACCACAACCCCTGGCCTTTTCACGATCCTTCAATGCTACGATATCTTCATTATGGACAGGCATCATAATAACTGGTGCCTGGAGGGCTGGCATATAAAGCGGGGCAAAGTAGTTCTTGGCTGACTCGCAGAGTTGAGATCTGGAATCTGACGATGTCTAGATCTACGGACAGAGGGTAGCAGATCTCAATGGGACGGTGGGGGTCTGGCGGTTAGAGATTTCTCGTGTGGGCTTCTGAAGGCGCAGAGACCCCTGGAGTTGATCCTCGTGATGAGATATTATGTGAAAGCCATGTGGAAGACCGAGTTATGACAGAATTTGTCATCTTGAAGTCTGGTGATTCGGCTCACAAATCGGAACTGCGGTGTTGGTGCCTCGGGTGCGTAAGTTGCTTTAAAAAAAGAATCCAAAATTCCACAACGGCTCCATGCCGCCGCGTGTATATTCTGAGCAGAGATATGTGCCTTTATGGCCAATATAAACACGATAGACTTGTCTCTCACGAGAAACCCCCCTCAAACGCCTCTCACTGCTCGGCGCGCCTCCCGAGCTGGTATATCGCTAGTAAATCAACAGATCGCCGCATATTGTTCCAACGCCCCGCCATCTTCTTGTACTGTCGTGGACTAGCACCGAGTATCATAAATCAGCCGCAGCTTCAACTCTTCCTGAAAACCTGAATTCGTACACAAAACCTCGCCCCGGGTTCTAGCCAGGGAGGTTGTCGAGAGGCGGCATCGGAATTCCACTCAATCCAGTCTCAATGTCGTTCATAATCGTCTCGTCCGCCGCAATGCTGTTCATCACCTCATCCTGCGTGAAGCCCTGCCAATACGTCGGGTTGATCTGCGACGCCTTCTTTGATCGGTAAATCTCCTGTGCGACTCCCTTGACTTGCCCCGAAGCGTTGCCCGCCGCCTTCCATACCGCCGAGAGCTTGTTGAGGGCGCCGATATTGAGCCGAATCTGCTGTCGCAAGTCGTCGTCATCGTGGGGGATGAAGAAGAGCGCCCATTTGCTCAAGTGGACGATCGAGGAGAGCGTCACTACGCAGGTGAAGAAGTGCGTGTGTGAGAGGAGAGGTACACGGTGAGTGATCATCTTGCTGATTTCGGCGGCTGAAGCAATCGTGTGGCTCGTATGTGTGTTGAATAAGTCTCCGGATGGGACTGGTCGGTGTGGTGCGCAGGACGTTACAGATCGCGTTGGCGAGGAATCCAGCTGAGAGTGCGGCTGGTGAAGCATGATGGATGTTCTATAACACGTCAGTTCGATACTAACCACACCTCACAAACGTCAGACATACGCATTGGTCATCATGTTGGCCTGGAAGATCATCTCATCCGATTGTAGCTTCTGGTCCAGGGCGTCCTTCTTGGATAGCGGCAGGTGAAGCCTCCAGTTGGTCAGAAGCGCCTCGATGCGCCCGAGATTCTCATCATCAGGACCGTATATCGGCGGGACGCGCATGAACTTTCCGAGGTTCCGCCCTGCGAGAATACGATACGCAAACGAGGAGAACTCCCTATCATCCCCAGAGAAGTCTTGGTCTTCCAAGTCCGTGAGAGTCAAAGGTGGTGGGATGCTCTGGTTCAGAATCTTAGCCTCTGACCTTCACACGGGATACTAAGCGACTCACCCCAGACAGATACTGATGCTCCTCACAAGGGAGGGCGGCATCGGCGGGTACATCAAACAGGAGAAAGTTGGTCTGGCGATGTACCCCAGCCACCATGCCGTCTACGACGAACAAGTCCCACCATGTCCTACGCCAGCTCTCTTCTAACACGGGAATGCCCCGCCCATACTGTGTCGCATACTCCCGGGTATTGAGTCCCAGTTCCAGGGCGATGCGTTCGGCGTCACCGAGCAGATTTCGAGCCTTTTCCTGCTCACAGCTGCCGTCCAAGCCTACAATTAAAAGGATCAAGGCTTGCACGAAGAAGCCGTCCCTCCGGGTCGTTGGATCCTGGACCAGGCGCAATGCCTCATCCAAAAAGCCAGCCCGCGCAGGCCCCATGTCGAGGAAGAGAGCACCAACCCACCGAATGGCGGCCAGGAGAGGTTCTACATTGGTGTCTCTCATGATACGGAGGAGCCATTCTTTCGGTAGGGCAAACGGGTGTGAGGCATAGAAATGGTGGTAAAAGGAGTCGAGACATCGTTCGGCCAAGGTAGGCACGGGGACTTGCGCAGGTACACCGGGCTGAGATTGACCCAGTGCTAGCTGGGTCGAGTTGAAGCCGATGGCAGCACCGAAAGACCGGTAGAGCTGCAAGTTAGAGAAGTTGGGCGTCGCGGCAAAGGTGGTGCTGGGCGTATCTGGGAGCACGACGCCCGGCGTATTAAATGCCATTCCATTCTGCATCGTCGTGGGTACTGAGGTGCCGTTTGCGCCAAGTAGCATGGGACAGCTATTGTCGCCGACGCCTACGGTGGAAGTGGGGGACGAGGATCGCGCTCTCTTGTTCGGATTGGCGGTGTAATTCCTCCTCGGGCCCTTGTAGCCGCGCCGAGAAGCGACGTAGACGCACTCGGACTGGGAGCTCAGGCATCGCGAGCACGGGTTCTGGCCGTCGCACTTGAGATGCTTGCTGCGCTGTTGCAGAACAAGATTGGGTTAGTCTCACACTCTCTCACAAGCTCGCGCGAAAGAGGGTGGTGCCTGTCTCGCCGTCGCCGTCGCCGTCTCGGCCGGAGCCAATGGGGAGGAGCGAGAGACGACGATGACGGGGACCCTGACAGGCTGACATGGAGGTGCGACTTACGCAGGCGAGACATGCAGCGGGGACAGCTACAACGGGAGGCTGCTGCCCTTGAGATCGGGAATCACTGGTCGCCGAGGAGGGTGCGTTTGGCGAGTCGCGGTCGGCTGGTGACTCCGAGTCGGGCACCATTGCCAAAGGGTTCGGGGACCCGTTGCTGTGTGTGCTATGTGTGCTCCCCGGGGGAGGTGGGACTTCGGGCGACAGCGAGGATTGCATGTCGAAGACTATTCTTCAGGTATTGTTGGATTGCGGCCGATTGCCGTGGGCTCCCCGGGATTCGTTACTCGACTAGGGAAATGTGTCGATGTTCTCCTTTTCTCTCTCTCTTTCGCAGCTGTTTGTTTGGACGCTGGCAAGGCGCGGGCAGCAAGTGGGTGGTTGCAGGAGGGAAAAGTGATGCTTGGTCGGCGACAAAGAAGGTGCCAGGGGGCGTGTTAGTATCTGTAGCGAGGAGAGCAGACTGTTTGTGACCTCTGGCCCCCAAACCAAACCCCAAAACGCTCGACCGCGGGAGGCAGCAAGAAAGAGGCGGGAGGAGCTGCCCTGGCTGGCCTGGCCTGGCCTGGCACGGCACAGCTGCGGCGCACGGATGTGGTGGGTTGAACCCGTCAAAATGTGCCCGAACTTGAAAGTCTGGACTGTTTGGGAGCCCTGGACCCCTTCACGCGAGCAGGGGCTGAGGTAGCCAATGGACGAGCCAATTGGGCCAAATCTAAAAGCTGTCCGCGGTGGTTGGACTGCCGTGGGACGGATGCGGGTAGGGATGAGGTTGATGTTGATGGCTTGCACCGAGGTTCCCTTTCTTTCGCGTGTTTGGTGGTTGGTTTGGTGGTTGGTTTGGTGTATCCGTAATCCAAGTGTAAGCCTCGCCCTCAAGGCAATGGAAGTGTCAAATGCTTGTCAAGTGGAGCACCAAACTCGGGACCGAATTCAGTTCGGGGAAGCGGGTCCTGGACTTGTGGTGCTGTGGAGGAGAGACAAGAGGCAGCTGCGAGTCAAAGTCGCAAGGTGCATGTGGTGATCGTCGCCGCGTGTGTTTGTGTGTTTGTGTAGGTATGTAAGGTATCTTGCCTTTTGACGCAATGGTAGAAGATGGGCATACCCAACAATCCAGAAACCGTCACGGATTCCAATGTGGTCCAAATCGAGAGTTTGAAAGCCACTTATACAAACCCAAGCAACTGTGCGCTTTCTTCAACGACCGGCAAAGTAGGCGGGTATCGGCCACCACGCCGCGACAGGTGGCAGCCACCTCAGTCCGTGCAGCCTACACCCACTCCACACCTTAATCACGAAGCCGCGGATATCGGCCTTCTTCACTATGTGACTATCGGCCATCAACATCGGCTCAGCCCTACAGCCCATGGATCCGACGCCATGATCCCCCGGCTTGACCCGCGCTATTGACCTTGTTGATCAGCATGTGCAATAGCGGCAGTGAAGTTGGACCTAGATTGCATGATCACACGACCTGTCTTCATTTGCAACCATCGATGCGTTTTGAGATGCCTGGGGTCGGCAGTACATCGGGTTCTCGCCGTCTCCCCTCTGTCATTCCATCATCTCATCGTCTCAGTAACCTACTAGGTAGCCCGAGGAGAGCAAAGGGAGCAGAGAGATCCGACCATTTCGTGCATGGTGGTATAGTTTCCAGCTTCCTGGCGACGCATAATGAATCCTCTCCGGCCGGCCAGTCAATTGCCATCCGCGTCGAGATGAGTGCAAGGGCCGTTTCGGGGCCTCTGAGATGCGCAACTTAACCCGGAACCCAATTTCCCCCTGCCGGGCCGACAGCTTCACTTCAAATGGGGAAGATAGCTTGGGCGGGGGGTGATGTACGAATATGCCAGGATGCTCCCTACCTGGCCCACGAGGTATGTAATGGCGCACGTATCCACGGGGTTGAAGAAAAGGGAAAACACGGGTGACGAGTTCCCTCTTTCAAATCCTTCAATGCCCTCTTATTTGCTCAACCTCGAGCGGGGCCCATAGTCCGGCAGCGGCAATCGGCCGGCCCCGGGAAAGTGGGTCAGACCCCGGCGGGCCGTCGGGTCTGGGTCAATTCATCACCCCATGCCAAGATTGATGGAGTCACATTACACTCGGCAGTCATGAGTCACGATAAGGGAAAGGAGATTTCGTTCGGTCGATTCCAGCGTGGATTTTAGCAGCTCAAAATTATTGCAACGACGCCGCCTACCTTGAGCTAAGAAGCTTTCTTGCCAACTACTATGGGCATACCAGGACTGACGACACTCCCTGGCGGACGTGTAATCTTCGTCACGACTGCTCCCACATGAGAGTCTGGGACAATCACCTTGATTTCCATCTTCATCGCCTCCAAGATAGCGACTGTCTGCTTCTCCTCAAGCACGTCTCCGACCTCAACCAGGACTTTCCAGACATTGGCATTCATGGGCGACTCAATAGCCACGGCATCTGCCGATGCATCGTCCCCGCCCCCTCACTCTTTTTCAACAGAGCTTCCGCCTTGGCAGCAGTCCATTCACCAAAGAGCCGCTGTTCGAGCTCTCCCATCTCCTGGGCTGCGGCATCCTGTCGCTTGCGCCATTCTAGATGCGCTGGATCACGCGCTGCGGCGTCAAACTTGGCAATGTACTCGTCCATGCTGATAGTCCCGTCGGATATGTCGAACACATATCTACCGGCTTCAAAGTCCCTTTCAACTTGGTCAAATTCTTCCTTGGAGACCTCGTGGAATCTGACAATGTCAAAATTATTGAACAACCAAGGTCGCGTCGGGGAGAAGCCGGCGCGAGTGCCCATCAGATCCCACGTACCCAACGTGCGGCCCATGAGCTGGTAGCCGCCCGGCGAAGTCACAGGATAGACAACAAGCAGGGACCCCCCGAGAGCGACTGAGCCGCTCGGAGTGTACGCGCGGTTAGGGTTGTATTTCTGCCCCGTGAACACATACTTAGGGTCGAGCGGAAACATGACAGGGGTTCCGAGGAAGAAGCCAACGGCAACTGTGAGCCAGGGCGTCTTCAAAAGCGAGTCAAACACATCGCGGCGAGTTTCCAACGCGTTGTTCTTCCGCAAATACTCGACGTTGTCCGGGAGGTAAGCGGCGGTGGGGCGAACACTCTCCATGTATCTTTCCGTCGCTTCGGTGATTGTGGGATGGTCCACGTACAGCGGCAGGTTGAATTCGCGAACGGGCACCTTGATGCCAACAATCTCTTCGATACTCCTGTCTTGTGCAACCAAATTCTGCAGCAGCTCGGATTGAGAGATCCGGAGCGGATCGTAATGCACTGTGAGTGTAGCGAGGTTCGGCTCACAGCGCACGCTTGCAAGGTTGCACGCGGCAAGCTTTTCCTCAAGAATATGAACGCAGACCGTATTGCGCAAATCCGCAATTTGCTCGCCATACTCGACTATGATGGAAGTATCGCCACCTTGCCTGTAAGTAACGCGAGGGTGATCACCGTTGGGTTTGGCCATATGTAATATTGAAGTTGTGGTCCGGGATCCGAATTCCAACTTAAGTGGCACAACTTCTGTCTCTTTGCCGTCTACGAGAGCACTCAAAGACTTCAAGTAAGCCTCGTTGGTGTGCTTGATTTTCATGGCATCCTCGAAGGAGACAAGTCGCAGCTGCACACTGTCGCCCGACTTCAGTTGACCAAGTTTCCACATCTCAGCCGAGCAGATGGTGACAGCGCAAGCAAACCCACCCAGGTCCGGCCGGTCGCGGGAAAAGATGATTGGAAACTCCCCGGTCCAATTGACACCGCCGTTGGGATACCCGTAATCGAAGACGTTTGATGGGTGGGACCCGCCTCCCCCGCCGGTGGTGCGTGCCCACTTCAGCCGTGAACCCTCTAGTCGAATACCACTACGACTACTATTGTGGCTGACGGTCCATGTGGAGTTGGTAATTGTCGACATGCCCTCAGGGGTGAGTATATCTTCCGAGCCATAGGGACCATTAAGGCAGAATATCTCCGAGTATCCGTAGTCAGGAATTGCCTTTTGTGGTAAGGAAAAGGGTGTGGCTGCGGCTGCCCAATTGGCTGATTCCGGGGCAAGGGCGAGTAGGTCGTTGATCTGAAGCTTGCGCCCTTGAAGACCGCCAAAAACAAGCTCTGGCGCTGTTGATTTGGAACCGAGATAGAAAGGTATGTCTGGGAAGCCTCCTTTGACTGCAAGGTAGGTTCGAAGACCGTCACCTTTGACGCCGCCAATCTTGAGCGTCTGCCCCTGCCGCACAATGAATCTAGACCACATCGTTTGCTCCGTGTCATCAACGCTAATGGGCACTTGGGCGCCACATACGGCCACCACGGCCGATTCGTGGAATAAGAGTTCCGGACCAGACATAGCTATCTCAAGGACTTCGACCTGAGGATCATTGCCAACGAGGATGTTTGCCGCCCGACTGCTCAAATCATCCATTGGTCCGCCGGGAGGCACGCCGTGTCCGATAGTTGGACGCCCCGGATAATCCTGGACCGTAGTAAAGAGACCAGGGTTAAGGACTTGCATAGCGCACACCTTGGTCTTGAAATTGGACACGAAAGAGGTGAGCGTGTCGCCTTTGGTAAATCCATCAGAACGCAGCACTTGCGAAAGGTACTGCAAATTCGTCTGTGTACCTTGCAATGCAGTTTGAGCCAGAGCGGCGAGCATCTTCTTTTGCGCATCGGCTCGACCATCACTGCTGTGTACCATGACCTTGGCGATCAGAGGGTCGTAATGGGGCGTGATTTGCTGACCGCTCTTCACCCATGTGTCTACACGGATACCATCGCCCTTAGGCCAGCTGACATGCTGTAGAAGGCCCGGACTGGGAGCAAAGTCGAGCAGGGGCACTTCAGCATATACCCGGACCTCGATGGCCGCTCCGTTTGGCTGCGCTTCCGGAAGGCTTCGTAGCTCGTTCGAGGGGATGCCAAGCTGACCGCCATGCTCGTAGTCGGCTTGCTGCAGCATCAAGTGAACTAGATCAACACCATAGCACATCTCAGTGATACCGTGTTCGACCTGGAGGCGCGTGTTCATCTCGAGGAAGAAGAAATCGGCAGTTTCATCGTCGACCAAGAACTCAACGGTGCCGGCACTCTTGTATTTGAGTTGGGAGGCGTACTTGACTGCTGCCTGAAGCATTTTTTCGCGTAGGCCTGGCGTCCGCTCGACAAATGGACTGGGGCACTCTTCAACCACCTTCTGGTGGCGTCGTTGAAGAGAACACTCTCTCTCCCCGAATGCAACCACTTTCTCGCCGTTTCCAAAGACTTGGACCTCAACGTGTCGGGAGCGGGCATAGTACTTTTCCAGGAAGACACCGTTGTTCTTGAACAGAGCGTCTGCGCGACTTTTGACCGTGACGAATGCTTTCGGGATGTCGTCGTCGTCGTGGCATATTTGCAGACCCATGCCGCCTCCTCCTCCGGTGGCTTTCAGCATGACCGGGAAACCGAGCGTCTTGGCGCCCTCTATAGCCTCGCTCGTTGATGGGATTAACGAAGTGCCAGGGATTACGGGCACATTGACAGCTTCAGCAATAGCTCTCGCCTCATGCTTGAGACCCATAGCCTTGATAGAAGTGGATGAAGGACCGATGAAGATCTTGCCTGCAGTTGTGACGGCATCGGCAAAGCCGGCATTCTCGCTGAGGAAGCCATATCCAGGAAACACGGCATCGGCGCCTGTGCGTTTACAGATCCCCAAAATGGCGTCGCTAATGCAGTTATCAGAACCGTGATGTCATATCCACACTGAGGTCAATCACCCATCTGTGTATGTGTCGTTACCCCGCAGCGCGATCGCCTCGTCTGCCAACAAGGCATGTAGTGATGTTGTGTCGGCGTCTGTATAGATGGCAATGCTGTGGACACCGAGTTCGCGGCAGGCCTTGATGCAGCGGACAGCAATCTCGCCACGATTGGCCACCAAGACCTTCTTGATGCTCCGAAGTGGCTTGGGATGCATAGCTTCGTTGAGGCTTTGACAAAGTCAGCAACAAATTGGGCGTGGTCAGAGGGTATGTGGAGGAGCAAAGTGTACAAGCTCAGACTCCAACATGGCTAGTATATCAATCAATCAATCCATTCCGCTCGTCCGCATCTTGATGATACGAAGGCAAGAGCGCGCCCACACCGGGCCGGTGGCTACCCTGACTGCTTCCCGTCTCCGTGTCGTTACCCCAACAGCTAGAGTACCAGGAGAGGGGAACGCGTCCTGTGCCATTGCCGGAGTGCCGGGTCTAGATAAGGGATCATCGACGAAGCGCATGAAGGTTTGTCGGGTGGAGGTCCCGGCAGGCTTTTGTGGTTGGTTTCTGGTAAGATGATTGACGTCTTTGCTACTTTGACGTCGTTGGTCTGAGGAGGTAACGACCCCGCATCGTACCGATTGATGGGGTTACAATGGGCACCCACTGCTATCAGGAACTCCCTGTCGGCGGAGTGCAGTGATAAGGACCACCTGATCCAGTCTACCCCAATTGTCAAGCCGTCGCTTTGGAGTAACAAACCCCAAACGCCTACCCCAATAGTACCATCCATCTCTGTCACCTCAACCATTGAAGCGCTCTTATTAGACGACCATTGAGGCAGCAAAGACAAGATGCCTTCTTCAACCTTACTCAATCGTCTCCCGTTGCGACAGACGGTATTTCTAAGCTTGATATTCCCTGGACAGCGCCCGCTATCACAACAATTCAGAATGGCCTCAGGACTGGCGCGCAAATACGAGATCAACGCCGACATGGGCGAAGGCTTCGGCCGCTGGAAGATGGGTCCGGACGAGGAACTGATGCCTTACATCGACGCCGCCAACATTGCGTGCGGATACCACGCCGGCGACCCTACCATTATGCTCAAAACCGTTCGCCTGTGTAAGAAGCACGGCGTCAAGGCCGGAGCGCACCCAGGATTACAAGACATGTTCGGCTTCGGCCGGAGGAAGATCGAGATTGACCCCAAAGACATGTACGCCATGGTATTGTACCAAGTCGGCGCTCTCAAGGCCATACTCAACTCGGAAGGAGTCGAGCTGTCACATATCAAGCCTCATGGGGAGCTCTTCTTCTATATGCAAAGGGACGAGACCATCATGAGAGCCGTCCTGGAAGCTTGCGCCACGTTTGGGGACAACATCCCAGTATTTGCATCGCAAAACGCCACACAAGAAGCCATGTGTAAGGAACTCGGCATCCCGTTCCAAGGGGAAGTCTACGTTGACATCGACTACTCTCCAGAGGGGAAGCTCATCCCGGTGGCACAGTCTAAGGTGGCCACGCCAGAGCTGTGTTACGAGAGGGCACTATCTGCATCACTCAAGGATGAAGGCAAAGACAACAGCGGCGGCATCTTTAGCTTTGGGTTTGCCGGAAAGCCGTTTAGCATCTGCGTGCATTCTGACCATCCGACGGTACTTCAAAATGTCACCGGTGTACGTAAGGCAGTCAATGAGGCGAACAGGCAGAGGTTTCCTACTGCTTCAGACTAGTTGCTTCTCAACATGAGTGTAACAATACTTCAAGGAGTGCCAAGAAGATTTCGATACTGATATGAAAGAAGGAAACATGAAAGGTACCTGTAGGTGTCGTTCTGGCAGAGGAATTGAAATCGAAAGCAGTTCTGCCAGCTGTCGCGCATCAAGCTACCAGCTGGCGGACTTGAGGCAGCGGACCTTACCAGACCACTTCCTATGAGCCTCATCGTTGAGCTTGCCGTTTAGTATAGATTCCGAGAAGAATACGACGGTGTTTATCGCAACAGGGACGGCGACGTCAAGATGAACCACACGGTCGTCGCTGGAACCTAAACAAAGCTTAACTAGGATGTAGTGAATCATATCGACGAGGCGCGTCTGAGTTGTCTAGCTTGTCGACGGTGGACTACCAATGTCTTGGTCCTGGAAATTCGGATCATCGACCATATATCTGCATCAGAAGGCCATCGCGAGAACGCCTCTTGGCCTTGCCACTTGAAACACTGGCAACCCCTGGCGGCATGGCGTCCTAACATTTTAATCTTCCGAAAAGAGGGGACTAGAGCCGCACAGGGTGCTTTTGGTTGGATACAGGTGACGCTGGCATCCAGTGCGACGTCGGAATAACTGTCGTATCGGATACGAAAAGTCGTCGGGACTGTTGGCGGAAGCGCCGTGTAAGCAAACGACGTCTGTACGTAGGCACTTGGCGATGCCCACTGACATGATCCAAGGGGCCACAAAGAAGAACTCTGGCTTGGCGATGATGCTCTCTAAATGCTTAAGAAAGATATCTTCGTCGCAGAGATGCTTCCCATCATGGACATCAATTGGACATTCAATCACACTCCCTACTTCCATTCAATCTTCTACTTCTTCCAACGGTAAATTCTGAACTTTCTTGGCTAAAGAAACCAGTAAGATGCTAACTCAACGACGTAGTTAAACCACTCGATGCATTTACAGGCTTCACTTACAGTCTTCATCGCACTAACCTTACTTGTCTGTTCAGCGATCGCGGCAAAATCCACTACTCCATGCGAGTCTCGTTCCGACGGCTCTACTCTGGTCACACCCGCCTGCGTAGATCCTCTCTACAGTGAGCCGATCATTGACAGCGAGATCAACGAGACCTCTCCAGGCCTCCATCGTCACGTCGCGGGGCACTTCTCTAATACCTCCACTCGCTTCAACTTTTACTTTCCACCGAAAGATGCATGGGATGGCCGCTTCTTCCAACTCGCCTACCCTACTCAGTCCGAAAATGCCACCGAGGATACCGTCGGCTTCGGTCTAGACAGCATGGCCTACACGGTCCAAGTGACAGGGACCAATGGGTTCCGTGCCGAAGCCACGACCGCAAAGTACTCTAGGATCGTTGCGGCAAAGTACTGCCGCCTCAACAGCACGCAGCACATCTATGGGTATGTCTACGGCGGCAGCGGCGGCTCTGATCAGGTCATTGGCGGTATTGAAAACACGATTGACGTCTGGGATGGCGCTGTGGCCATGGTCCAGGCCATTCCAATTTCCGCACCCAACAGCCCATCAATCAGGGCAATAGCAGGTCTGGTACTGCGGAATAGGAAAATTCAGATCCAGGATTCCCTAAGACCAGGGGGTAGTGGAGATCCCTTCTCGATTCCGTCACTGACTGGAGTTGAGCGGGCTATGCTGGTCGAGGCGACGAAGCTTGGGGTTCCGATCCGTGCTTGGGAACAATATGACGAGGTCGCAAACAGCTCACATTTGAACATCCTGAGGAACACCATTATCAAGCCTTCGGACCCTACATACGCCAATGATTTCTGGTCCAAGCCGGGTTACCTGGGAACCGAAGATAGTGCGCTCGGAAAGATCATGAGAGAGGCCGTGGTCGACTTCAATGCGACCGTCGAAGACGTTCAGCTTGACGAGAATGGAAAGTTGGTCAGCATCAGACTTGACACAGTCCCGGAAATTGTTGCTGATGCATATGGCTACGACCTGACTCTTCTCGGCGCCGACAACTCTAAACTAGGAACCATCAGCGGCACCTTATCTACGGCTAACAACATTATGTCTTTCACTGACTACACTGCCGATGCCAATAATGCCACTCTTACAAAACTTATTGCGAAGGGAGTCAAACTCCATATCGACAACAAGTCGGCCCTTGCAATGCATGCATATTACAGACATCAGGTCCCAGAACGAGCAGGATTTTACGGGTTCGATCAGTTCCGGACTGCCAACGGCACGAGTTGCCCCCAACGCTCTCCCGACACGTCCAAGACCCTCGCCAAAGTCGTCTCTGGTGGCAATCACACCGGCGCCATCGGATGCAAACTCATCGTCGTCCAAAACCTCTTGGACAGCGACGCGTTCCCGTGGCATGCCGACTGGTACCGTTCCCAAGTCAAGCAACAGCTGGGAGATCGCTTCGAGGACAATTATCGCCTGTGGTACAACGACAACGCGGAGCACTTTTACGAAGAAAGGCCTCCGCACCGCCTCAAACTTATTGTGCCGTACAACGGCATCTACCAACAAGCTCTACGAGACGTGGCAGCCTGGGCGGAGAATGAGGTACCTGCGCCAGAGGCCACTGCGTACGCCATTTCCGCCGAAGACAACTCGGTCCAAGTGCCCCCTACAGCGGCCGAACGGCGAGGTGTCCAGCCGGTCGTTGAACTTTTTGCGAACGGAAGATGCAGCTGTACTGTGAAAGCTGGACAGCCGGTGACCTTACGAGCGACTGTTGATACGCCTCCCGGAACTGGCAAGGTTGTGAACGTCGAATGGGATCTGACTTCGCAGGGGACCTTTACTGATGTCGGGCCGGCAATCATGCCTAATCAAACTGTGACGGTTGAGCACACGGTTGTCTACAACACGACGGGGAATTTCGTCGCCATTGCCAGGGCGACGTCTCATCGTGAGGGGGATCAGGGTGCCGCCTATTCGAAGGTGATGAATCTAGCTCGAGTGAACGTTGTCGTTGTATAGTCCCGGTTTCGTCTTGAGGTGCCTGGTTAATGTAATTATGTTAGCCATGTGCTTTCTAATTATCACTTCCAAAATGCAGTCAAATAGTGGCGATTGGGCTTCCCAAATAATAGGATGGGATGCCCGTGATATTTCCGGAACGTATACTAAGAGATGTTCATGACAGCGTAAAATTTCGCCCAGACAGGTGCGGTCAGAAGGAAGGACCCCCCTTAGTTGATATTCCTGCCTAAGCTAGCTGTGACCGAGTTCACACAAGATTAGGAAAGAGAGGCCAAATACCCCCATGTTTCTGCTCCGACCTACGGTACCCATCCACCCTCTCTCAGGACTTATCCACTACCTCACATCGCCTCGCCAGCCGGAGAGAATAGCGGCAATCGATCCAGCGTGGCTTGGGGCTGTTTCCGCCCTCTGACCATCGAGTTCGACCATGAAGCCTCCTACATCTTCGAAGGCTTCAACCTTGAGATCTGGACGACGGATGCACAGGGAGCAAAGCGCCAGATTGGGAAGATTTGGGATCTTCAGGGTTACGGTGAAGCCGAACAAGTCGAGGCTATCGCAAAACGCAAGGTCAAAGGGTTGACATCCTTCCGCACGCTGGCGGCTTTGCGCCTTGCGAGGGATCGTGAAACGGAGAGGGATCACCAAGAAGAGAAGGCCCGCCAGAAGGAGGAGACCCGCCGAAAGGAGAAGAGGGCTCTCCGAGAGAAAACGCTTACCCTTAAATCTCTCTAGGCGAGAAGAAGGGCCATCCAAGAGACAGAGAAGGCCCTCCAGGATGAGGAAGAGGCTCCGCAGGAGAAAATTAAGTCTCTTCAAGAGAAACATACTGTTTAGGAGAGGAAGAACACTCGTTAGACGAGGTGACTAGAGCTCCTGCGAAAGGAGGAGCAACCTCGACAGGAGTGAAAGAATCGCCAGGACGCGGAACAGAACAGTGATGAACTCATGTCGAGTCCGAGCCCTGGGCGATCATGGTTATCAGCGATATAAAAGCCAGGGCCAATCCTTCTCGTACATCAGCCCCTTTTCCTGGAGTCTGGTAGTACTCTTATACTGAGGAGGACATCGGATATGTTGAGGAAACGGCGTCACTAACAGTGATGAGGGTGTCGTCGGAACACCCACCCTTCAGTATTTAGGTAGTTACCGTTCTATGATAATCAGTTCGCTCTTCCAGTTTGCTTATAGATATTTCGTGAATTGTCCCAGGCCAAATTCCAGACTTGTAAGTGTGTGAACATTATAGCCTGACAATGCCCGCAAGTCTGTGTAGACGCATCCCTTTACTTCTAACCCAAGAACGATCGTTTCAAGTGCAGCCTTACGGTTATCTACGAGTGTTTGTATGAGCGAATTGAGGGCCCAAAAACTCGTGGGGAAACCAGGCAAGACATGCTGGCTCTTGGGATACGTACAATGCAATCTACCCGACGTTTCCGAATGCTAAACGTAAATGCCTTTCGTCATGGACCTATTTGCCTTGCACGGCATCTTGGAAGCGTGGGTTGATACATGCGATCTAGACGGGCGAGGATAATGGTGCGAAGCTCCGTATAGGATTTCTGTTTTCGTCTCGAGGTTCGGGCATTAGGGGGCCCTAGAAACTACCCAAGTTTGCCTATGAGCACCCCCTCACAGACAATGTTTGTTGTGGCAGAACCACCCCCCCCCCCGTTCTGTGTAAGATATTTTGAGCGAGAGCCCCCCATAGAAAGCCCCCCTTTCACAGTCTACCAATTTTACTGACGAACCCCCCTAACACAGGCCCCGCCGTCTGATTGACGTTCGCCACCGTGTCAGTTGGCTGCAACGACCATGAGCCAGCTCCTCCTAGTATCTGACCGGGATCGAAGACAGTGATACAAATGATCTTTACCGCCGTGAGTACGTCACTCTGTTACTGGATATATCACTTGTGTCGTCTGATGTGACGAGACAGTACATGTCGTGCTGCCGACAAAGTCCGACTAGCGTCTAGCCGTTGAAATTAAGCTCAAGAGGAACGGGCCGATCCGACGAACATGCCGGCAGTGCAGATCCCTGTCAATGCTCTGCGCTGACTTGCATCCCTTTCAAAGTCTAGCTACCTTACTTGAAGTTAAATATTTACATGCAACGCACACTATTGCCTAAGAGACTCAAGTGTTGCATGGTGTACACACTTCTGCCACCCTGGAGCATGAACAACGGAAGGAAGTATCGGGCCCGGGTGCCTTCCTCCACCCAGCCCTACGGGTGGGACAGCAAGAGCAGATAATTCAGGCCCCCGCGTCCTCCCATCGACTGAGGCATCCAAAGGGAAGTATCCACCTCTAGGATCCTGGTACTTACCTTACCTTCGATTCCTGTCTACCTTATATCCTGCACCAAACCGAAAAAGGTCAGTAGGATTCCGTACCATTTCACTCCCACACGTTAGGTACCTTGCCCCAAACCCCTGCGTCTTCGTCACTCCACTAACGTACTTCAATTAGGGCATCCCCAAGTGCCAGAACACCAGAGCACGACGGCACAATAGCGACGCCGAGCCTTGAACTACCGGCGGAATGGATGAACGAGATTCAAAGACTCTAAAGATGGTATGGGAGCGACGAAAGATTTTCGGTCGCTCACGTGCAGTCCCCTCCCCCGAACAACGAAGGTAGTCGCATGGCCTTGATCTTGCACACCACAGGCATGAGAGCTAGCGGCCCGTATGATCTCTTCTCTAGGTACCTTGTCGATTCGCATGTCATCCTATAGATGCTAGAGAGAGAGAGGGGGAGAGAGAGAATGAGAAGTGCTTGATATACAGAGGAAATGAGACCCGTGGTTTCAAGATACGGCGGCATCGGATTGGCCTCCAACTTTGATTTCAGATACAAACTAGTCATCATCGATGCCGACCATTCCAACAGTGTCGACTATGCTATCTCGCTGGTCAAGTTGTCCCTTCTCCTGAGAACTGAGGATTCGACTATTTTGCGCATCGTCTGGTCATCATCTGCCCCCGTTGACAAAGAGTTAGGCAGGATGCTCGCCGTTTCAACCAATAAATCGGATATTCCCATTACGATTTTTCTATTGACGCAGCCGGCGAATTTGCCGAGTCTGTCAAATTTGAGATGGATTTCATACGACGCAACCGATGAAGAGTTCCCAGGCGCTGGGATTGAGGCTATTGCTCCAAACTATGCAATGATTCGGGACCTGGGACCGTCGGTGCACAGGACGAGGAGAACAGTGTTCTTCCGTGACGAAGGATCCGAATTGTATCGGCATCTTCTAATCAAAAGGGTTCAAGTGGCCATTCATAAGCACATGGTCGAAGAGGACCTAGCCGAGGAGAGGGGATCGATCCGACTCCCCGATTTGTCGGGAAGATCGTCAGACGTTGCCAAGGACGCGCATCATTTGGTTCTTCTCAGGAATGAGACAAACTATGTTTTTGACAAGGAGACTTCGTTTGTGGTCAGGACAACAGCGCCGCTGTCGAGAGCCAGGATGCTGGTCCAAGTAAGTTTCGCCTTCAATAAGGAGGTGGAGCAGGCGGACAGAACCATCCACGTTCAGATGGCACTGGAGGACATACTTGGCGCGGAAGCTGAAAGGGAATTCGAAGAGATTCATCTTCCGCTCTTCATCATCAATGTGATGTATGAATGCCCTCAGATCGAGCTCAACCGTCTTCGGGATTGTGTCCAAACGAGTCGGCGTTCGCTGAGGCTATTCGGCGGCTTTATGTTCTTGTGTACATCTGCTACGATGAGGACGAAGTCAAGATGCATCTCAATAAAGATCAGACAGGAAAGATCATTCGCCCCCAGCAGATCACGAGGAATGATTTGTCAGTGGCCTACTTTCTGAGCTGCATCACGGCGGATACCCCCGCCACGGTGCGGTCCGCAAAGATTGAAATTGCGGCCATTGTACTCGTGTCCCAAAGTTCGGATATTTTCGTCCAGATTATATCTAAGTCTTTTGATGACGAAGAGTCCTTCAATGGCCTTTTCCAGCGTCATTCCACACATGTGCCGAACGATGTCATCCAGAGTGGCGCTATGTGGTTGTCTTTGGCAATGTTGCGCTACTACAGAGAGGGGTGGCAACATCCCATGAGTATCATCTCATATGAGTATGGGAATCTGAAACTTTCATCTACCACATTCTGCGAGATCAATCTCGATTCAGAGGCAATCGCGAAGGTGTTGGACGAATTGGTTCCGGAGGCAAATGGTAATGCACCGGGAGCGACCCTCTATCTTTCCCACGGCGACGTGGGGCAGATTCAGAGATTCATGGTTCGTGCTTGGGCACACAACGTCGCTCTCTACGACGGTGAAGACGGTACGGATAGTAACATCATCTTTTCAGGGGCTCGATCGAGCCAGCTAGGCGCCAGGGTTTGGTGCTTCCTCGATATGCGCCACTACTCTGCTTTGGGTTTCTCTTTGTTTGCTCCACGTACCTGGGATAGCTCCCGACAGCCATCCCGGAACAAGTTATGTTCGATACTTTTGGTGAGATGAGCTACGAGTTGGCGGACTTTGCTACAGTCGGTTTTGGAAGGTGATGAGGATTATTGGGAAGGCCGGCCGGAGGACGAGGAGTACCAAGGTGACCAAGCCTAAGTACCTTCATCAATAATGTCATTTTCCATTCTCCTGTAGCCGCATTTTCTCCCATGTTCGTCGCTTTCGTGAGGCCGCCAAGGGGCTTATTTGATTCTGCGGATGTCTCGCAGTTAGACGAGAGACTTGAGCACATCAAAGTTGTTAATCGTCACTTTCTTCCCCAAAGCTGCTTACCTTATGCGAAGAGTATCATGATTGCTGGCGAAATTAAATCGTGAATCATTGAGTTCAGTATTCAATAAAGGTGGCAAGGGGTTCTACAAGAGCCTTCACTCAACTCAGTTGGGTACGTTGACAACCCACCGGTTGCCCAGCTGGCTCTACCGACGTGTATATTTATGTATGCGGTTTGCAAAAAGTGAGCATAATGGAGTACCCAGGGATCAATTTGTTATGTGTGTAACTATCTAGGATCTTCGAAAACGAAGTACAAGCTCTTCAACATACCTAAAGGCAACCAGCCTCTGAAGCCTCTTCGATGGTTCAATTTTTCGCCTTTTCTTGGTACACTCTCCTATGTCTCTCGGGCGAAACCCCCTACTTCCCTCATCTCTCAGAATTTATCCGTTTCTTCGTTGCTACCATTTTTTTCTTCTGCCTTTGACGTCTTTTCAGATAGTTTGAGCCTTGTTTTTTTTTTTTTTTTTGCTTGCAAGGAGAGTATCTCACCTATTCAAGACTTGTCGAGCGTAGACTCGGTGGTCCTCTTCTGTCTCTCGCGGACCACGGCAGCTCTGTGGACGCAACAGTTCTTTTTATGATTCTCGATGTCGTTCCCTTCCTTCAAGAGGATGTTGCAGTGTGCGACCAAGTCCACACGACCATGCTTCTTCCCCATGTGCGTACGGAGGGTATCGGTGTCTATCTTCTGGTCCCAGTGGCAGCCGGCTTGGTTGCAGTACTTAAGCTGAGGTTCCTGGGCGGATACCATCTTCAATGCGAGATGCCAAGAAACTCGATCTTTATAGGGGGGGGAACTAAGCTGTGCGTACTTGGGTGGCGGGAGGGAAGAGGTGAATGACAGCGGAGGGCGATATGACGAAGAGGTGAGAGGGATCTTTTACTCTTATTCATACTTTATCGCCTAAAACACCGCCCTTTCTCTTGACAAAGACTATTCCGACAACGCGGGAGGACTTTGAGCGACGAGGTGGTCGACTAGCCACGTGATATCGCTCCATGAGCGCGCTGTCTACCCATGGACGCAACCACTTTGACTGACGCGGTTGCCTCGCGCGTCTTAGAAGGATGTTATCGCGTTAGGCAGCATTTCAGGGGTTCAGTATGCAGGAATTACATGAGACCAGATCGTTGTACTTGGCTAAGAAGGGTAGCCAAGGACTGGCGAATGGCCGAGGGTGGACTGAGAATTGAGATGCCGGCTGTCATCCCTGAGGGCGAGTATCCTCACTTGACTACCAGAAGTGGCAGCCAGGAGTCAGAATTAGAATGCAACCTGGGGGCAAATTGCTGGTCTGTTTCTTTACAACTGATCATCTACGACCTCCTCTCCCGGTGGTTCCTCGATAGCATGCCAATATTCATCGCCCCAATCGCCGTCCGGTCTCTGCGAAGCTAACCCAGAGCGCGTGAAAATCTGTACTCCTGACTCATAGTAGGAGCTTGTTGTCGTCTGCGGTGGGTTTTCAGCGAATGGGTTAGGTGACATTGGGGTCGAAATGCTGCGATTGTTAGCTAGGAATGGCTTCACGTCAGATGGTAAAGTACCCGAGGTTGAAGGTGAATTTTTCCGTCAGTACCCTAGTAGTTTTTGAACAACTACTCTAATGCCGAAGAACTAATTCACTATACATATTCTCACTGCGATGTGAGAGTGGCCACATTTCTGGCCTCCCAAGCATCGAATCCCCAATCGCGGTAGAATCTTGCCCCCCTTGTCATCTGCATCCTTTTATGCATGTTGGAGCACAGCAGCATCGAGGTTGTATGTGAAGAGGAATTTCGATGCCATCCGCCCACTTGGCGACTCGGTGAAGGGCGACGCTTGATTAAAGTAGTCACGGCTGTCCGATGCAAATATTGCAACGATCCTCCACTCTCTCCTTACTGGAGAACCATATACTGACTTCGCATGACCATCTATGACTCAAGACCTTGGAGGTGCCGGCATGCATAAGAGCCGGGTGGTCTGCCCACTCGGGAAGTAGGAAAGGCCATTCCCGGCTCAACATCATGACGCCCTCTCCAGGCGAACCAACTTATTGCATACCCAAGTTGCGGGTTTTGCCCGCCCTTGATGAGAAATTCCATCATTTTCAAGGGCTGAGAGGCGCACACGTGGTGTTCAACGACCCTTCTCCAGCCAGGCGGCTTTCGCCACAAACGTTGACGGCATTGCGGGCGTCTAGAAACCCAGAAGAGCTTGCATGACGTCTACATGATTGGTATCAAGACATCTTACTTGGCTTAGAGACCTAATTTCTTGCACTTCTCAAGGATTCTGTGGGATAAATCTTCAAGTATGATTGGTATCAGACATCGCAAACAGAAATGTTGCCGTCCCTCCATGTACAACTAAAACGCCTGGCCCAACCCAAGAAGCGCAAACTCGCTGCTCCTCAATCAACCGAGCTCCCAACTTTTAGACCACCAGTTTTCGGGGTAATACATAGTAGACAGTGTGCCGTCCAGGCATTTACAAACATCGTACATCACCATCACCACCACCTCATTCATCGTACATTATAACTAGAGCTAGGACCCGACCGGCCCACGCCCTTCTCCTTCTGCCACGTCGTCCACTTGCTCTTACCATCGTACCGTGAAAACCTGTTTCCAATCGCGTCCGACACCGTCATCGTCGGGACGAGCTTCGCGTCCGAGTGGTACGGCAACACGCTGCGCTCCTTCTTGGCCCTGGGAAGCTTGGGCATCTTCTCCTCCTGCGCCTTGAGCGCTGTTCTCCTGTCCTTGAGCACCTGGCTCAACTCCACCTCGTTGCTGGCGATTTGCGCCTTGAGGAAGAAGGGGTCGGCCGTCGTCCTGTCCTCGAGGGTATCCATGACGGGCGTGCGAGGCGTATACTTGATACCGTCAAACTTGGGCGCGTGCGAGGCGTCGGGCACGATGGCGGGATCGAGGCGGGCCTCGGCTCCCTTGGACAGTAGCGTGGTGATGTCGAGACTCTCTCCGTGAGGGATCGGCGTCTTGTGGCTCGGCGTGATGCAGTCCATGTCGACCTCCTTGCGAAGAACGTGGTCAATGTCAATGGCAGAGAAGTAAGCCACCGACTGCGGCAGGTCGTGGATGCCCACTTGCTGGGAAAACATGGCTCTGGTCCAGACATTGGCTACCTGTAGCGCCATCGCCGCACGATACTTGTCATGGTTTTTGACTAGGTATCGAATTTCATCGTGAACGGTGATGGCGAGACGGGCATCGATATTGAACCGCCGAGTAAGATAGTCCATGCTAACGATGAGCAGATGGAGGTAGTCGACACCAGATGACTGTACGGCCCAGTTGATGCGCGACGTCAAGTAACCGTTCTGGTTGATGAATCTGCGCATCAACGCCTCCGTGATGCCAGCCCCCAGGACGAACGTCCGTGGCCGCTCCTGGGCCGCGAACTCCTCTAGCTTATTGAACAAGAACGACTCAGTCCCGCCACGCCAGAACGGCCGCTTGCTGAGTACGGCTCTGTTGGTTTTGGTACCCTTGGTCGTGGCGTACAATTTAGACGCAGTAGCGTTTGTCTCCTGCTCGGACAGGTTGGGATTGAATTGTCTCAACAATTGGCCGGCAAACTTGAGCCCCGCACCGTAGATACGACCATAGTTGAAGACCTTGGCGTCGTTCCTCGTGATGCCGAGAATGCCTGCTGTTCGCGAGTGGAGGTCCGTGCCGGCGGCCTTTGTGCCCTCAAGAGTCATGAACCCAATGGCATTACCACCGTGTAGTTTGAACGTAGCGTCTCCGACCAGACTTGCAATCCACAGCTCTTCGGAGTCAACATCGGCACCGACGAAGCAGTAGCCCGGCGGTGCTTTTACCATCGACTTGAGCTCCGATCCGACTCTGTTCTTCTTCGCGTTACTTGCCGTGAGCCATGTGTTCTCCACGGCTCGTCTTGTAATGGTGCCCATGGGTATTATCTGGGGCAAGATGTAGCCCTGGACCTCCTCGGGGCTCTTCTCCTTGGAACTCGTCTTCTCGTCGTTGACTGAAAGGTCGTCTTCGTACACCACCATCTGTGACCTGATGCGATCGCGAGCGCTAATCCAGTACGAACACGACGCATTCATCTCCAGTGCCTCCTTCGCGTACGCATACTTTGACGACAAGGTGCCCTTCTCAAAGTAGGAGAGATAGCTCTTGGCCATCGGGTTGACACATCGTGCTGTGGGCCCGTCCTTGTGGGGGAGCTTGAAAAAGATGCCCTCTTCTTTGAGTAGTGCCGCATCGGTGTCAGAGTCGGAGAAATCGCACTCGATCATTTGCTTCTGCTCGTATGCCTCTGCTTCGTTATATGCCACTCTGAACGTCCAGCCGTACTTGTCCGACCAGAAAAGTGGGTGGTTATCCCACGAGAGCTTTAGTAGAATAGGCGCGATGCGGGTGCGCACGGAGACGGCAATAGGCGCATCGCTCTTCGGGAACAAGTCCTTATACCACTTCGGCATGCCCGGCTTTTTTTGTCTCGCGGCTGGTCGCGGGGGGTCATTCTTCTTCTTCCCTTTAACCATCTTGATCTCCTGGCCGGACCAGTCCAGCTGCTTCAGCCATGGATCGTTTCCCCATTTCTCGGGGTCGTCCTTGATTGCAAGAGCCTGCTCAGTAAGTCCAATCAGACGCTCTTGTACGGCATCAGAGAGCTCTCGGTAAGTAGCCTCGGCATTGTGAATGTAGGCGTCCCATGTTTTGTTGACAGGCAGGATGACGGATGAAAGATGTCGCAACGCTGCGAAGCTGACGGGATGAGGGCAAGTGTCCAAGAAGTTTGGAAACACAATCTGATACACTCTATGAGTGATGGC